ACTCAGCCGCCCCCGCCGATCCTCGTCCCCAGGCTGATGCCAGAGAGCGGGTGTCGCGGGCCAGCCCGGACCCCTCAGCTTCCGGGACTCCTCTCGGTCCGGGTCGTGGGCGCGGTCGGAGCAGTGGGTCCCCCAGTTCGGGACACCACGAGGGCGCAGGCCTCCTCTTCCCCTCCCATGACAGAGTTTTATGGGTTACTGTTCCAGCCCTTTCCACGTGTTACCTAACCCAGCAGAGGCTACTGTTCCCATTTCACACAAGGGAAAACCGAGGCTAAGAGAGGAGGTCGTTCCGGGCGCAGCCCGTGGGTGGCAAGCTGGGAGCTTGGTTCCGCAGAGGGTCTATGGGAAGATCCCCCGTCCCGCTGACCGAAGAGGAATGAACGGACAGGGCTTGAGAGGAAGGAAGGGGGCCTCGACCCTCCTTCTGCCCCAGGAGCCCTAGAACGGCAGGGCTGGCCCTCGAGTGCATGGAGGGTGGGGTTCTGGTCCCTGCTGTCTCCGCACTGTGGGCCGACCCTGGGTCCGCGGGTGCTTCCTGGGGCTCCCCAGCGTGAGTCACCGCGGGCAGGGCTGGCTGCAGCGCATTCCTCCGCGGGGCCGGCCTGCGAGACGGTGCGGGCCGGGGCGGGACCTCAAGTCACCCCACGGGGTCGGACGGCTGGGGCGTCGGGGACAAGAGGAGCGCGGGCTTCTGAGACCGGAGGGGGCGGCCGGGAACTGACCGTGGCGCGGACGCGACGTGCGGACCGGGACCGGCTGGGGAGGGGATGGCCTGGGGCGCGCGGGGCGCAGGCGGGCGCGGTGGCTCGAGGGCCGGGGCGGGCCGGGGCGGCCCCCACGGGGCGGGACGGGGCGGGGCGGGGAGGGGCGCTATAAAGGCCGCGCCGGGGCCACGAGGCGCTGAGCCGGCGCCGCCACCGCCCTCGTCGCCGCCGTGTTGCCGCCCCCAGTCTCGAACCCGGCCCGCCATGAAGTCCCCGGACGAGGTGCTGCGCGAGGGCGAGCTGGAGAAGCGCAGCGACAGCCTCTTCCAGCTCTGGAAGAAGAAGCGCGGCGTGCTCACCTCCGACCGCCTGAGCTTGTTCCCCGCCAGCCCCCGCGCGCGCCCCAAGGAGCTGCGCTTCCACTCGCTGCTGAAGGTGGACTGCGTGGAGCGCACGGGCAAGTACGTGTACTTCACGATCGTCACCACCGACCGCAAGGAGATCGACTTCCGCTGCGCGGGCGAGAGCTGCTGGAACGCGGCCATCGCGCTGGCGCTCATCGATTTCCAGAACCGCCGCGCCCTGCAGGGCTTTCGCAGCCGCCAGGAGCGCCCCGCGCCCGCCGCACCCGCCGCACCCGCAGAGGCCGCCGAGGCCGCGGCGCCCTCCGAGCCCTCCGAGCCCTCCGAGCCCTCGGAGCCCTCGGAGCCCTCAGACCCCTCCCCGCAGCCCCAGCCCCGCACGCCATGAGCCCGCCGCGGTGAGTGCCGGCCCGCGCCCAAGAGCCGGGTCGGGGGCCCTGGGGGAAAAGCCACTTCCACGCCCGACGGCGGGGCGGGGGGCGGGGCGCTGCAGCTCTCTGGGGACCCGGCGCCCCGCGATCGCGCTGCTCCCCTCGCGCCAGGGTCTCGGGGCCCCTCAGGCTGGACCCCGACCGGCCCTGGCGCAGCTCCCTGACCCAGTCCTTTTCCCACAGGGCCGCACAGTGGACGAGCCGGACCGCGCTCTCCAACCCCGCAGCAGCAGAACGCCTCGCCGGGCGCGCGGATCCTCGCCCCGCAGCACGGGCGCCTTAAGTTATTGGACTATCTAATATCTATGTATTTATTTCGCTGATTCTTTGTAGGCACATATTTTATAATCTTGATATCTTGTTTTTGCATTGATACGCCCACCGCAAATAAATTTGGCCAGTTCACTTTTCTACCATCCGGCTGTGGCTCAGTGAGATTCCTGCTGGGAGGGTGGAGGCCCGGGAAGGGAAGGGCAGGTCACCCTCATCCAGTCCTGCCGGGCCAGTGTGGAAGGCGCTGGCAACCGGCTTTGAATGAATAAATGAATCGTGTCATCTGCTGGGCCAGGTCCACACCTTCCTTCCAAGCAACCTCCCCGGAGGCCAGGAAGTGCCCTGGGGTTTGACCTGGCTACCTTCTGCTCCCTGTTGTGTCCTGAGGAACTGAGCCTGGGAGGACAGGGTGGTGGCCCATGGCCCTGCTGCTTCCTGTGGTGGGGGACCTTCCCCAGCAGCCCCTCCTCCCCACACACCTGGCACCAGACCCGAGGGAAACCCTCAGCCTTCTGGCTGCCTGCTGCCAGCGCTCCTGGCCAGTGCCCACAGTGTGGGGAGGGCAGGGTCACCTTTGCTTTTGAGGGAACAAGAGAGAGTTCTGGGCTGTCTCTGATGTTGGGGCAGGAGGCAGAGGTCCCTGCACGTCCAGGTGCTGTCCCAGGACATGGGGATGGAGAGGCCTGAGCCCCTCTTCCTGAGATAGCAGACCAGCATGGCTGCTGCCCTCCCTGGCTGCATTCTCTGAAAGACAAGGAGAGTCCGAGACAGGGCTCAGGAAGTGTGTCCCCACCCAGTGAGGAGCTAAGGGGTACACGCACAACTCCTGGCCCTACGATGGGGCCTTCGTTTCTGGAACCTTCCTGGTTGGAGGAATGCCGGTAGGGGAGGCAGAGAAGTACCAGCATCGGGCCCTAATCTGTGTTGCTATGGGGCTGACGAAGCCTCTTAGCTGGTCTGGGGTCAGGGCGGGGAGAGTGCTGTCCCTTGCTGTCCCTTTTCTGCATGGCCTGTGGGAGTCTTGGTGCTAGATGCAGAAGAAACCATTTCCTGCCAGGCAGTTTCCCCCAGCACACTTTGTGAAGCCCCCATGCAAACAAAGGGCAGAAAAGAGCAGCTGAGGATGCTGCTGTGGCTGGGCTCCTGGGCCTCCCAGCTGCCGCACAGAGCCTCACCTGGACGGATGTCCAAGGTCACCAGGAGAGGCCTTGCCCCTGGGGGCTTCGAGCAGAGGCACGAGCTGGCCTGAGCTCTGAGGCCACTTGTAGTTTGAGGAATTTTGGAATTCCTCAAATTCTGAGGACAGTGGAATTCTAAGAGTTGGGGAGTCCACGTTTTAACAGTTGCTTTTCAAGGCAGCCCAAGGAGAGGAGGGGTAGCCTTCATGGTTTGGGGGCAGCTGCAGACCCTCGCTGAGGTTGTGGAGAACCTGTTCTCTCCAGATGGGTCAATCGGTCACAGTGGCTGGGCCGGCTCCCCATGCCCAGTTCTCCTCCCCAGAGCCCAGGGCCGGGGACTGGGGGTGAGGGGTTGGGAAGTGCTGTGGTCAGGCGGCTGGGAAGGCAACAGTAGGTGGCCTGGCCGGCAAATCAGGTAACCCGGCTGCAAGGCAAGAGGTGAGTGGTGGGGTGAGCATTCCCCCCTGAATTCCACCTCCTGCCAGGTCAGTGGCAGAGGTAGATTCTCATGGGAGGGAGAACCCTTTGTGAGCTGCGCATGTGAGGGATCCAGGAAGCCGCTCCTTATGAGAATCTAACACCCGATGCTCTGGGGTGAAAGTTTCATTTCCCCCACCCGAATCCGAGGAAAAATGGTCTTCCATGACACTGGTCCCCGAGGCAGAGAATGTTGGGACCACTGAGCTATAGGACAAAGAGGCTGAGAGAGGAGTACACCAGAGGAGTTCTGGGGTTCGGGTGGCTGGCAGCATCCCCGGTGCAGTTCTGGGGTTTCAGTGGCTGGCAGCGTGTCTGGTGCAGTTCTGGGGTTTGGGTGGCTGGCAGCATCTGGTGCAGTTCTGGGGTTCAGGTGGCTGGCAGCATGTCTGGTGCAGTTCTGGGGTTCGGGTGGCTGGCAGCGTGTCTGGTGCAGTTCTGGGGTTCGGGTGGCTGGCAACGTGTCTGGTGCAGTTCTGGGGTTCGGGTGGCTGGCAGCGTGTCTGGTGCAGTTCTGGGGTTCGGGTGGCTGGCAGCGTGTCTGGTGCAGTTCTGGGGTTTGGGTGGCTGGCAGCGTGTCTGGTGCAGTTCTGGGGTTCGGGTGGCTGGCAGCGTGTCTGGTGCAGTTCTGGGGTTCGGGTGGCTGGCAGCGTGTCTGGTGCAGTTCTGGGGTTCGGGTGGCTGGCAGCGTGTCTGGTGCAGTTCTGGGGTTCGGGTGGCTGGCAGCGTGTCTGGTGCAGTTCTGGGGTTCGGGTGGCTGGCAGCGTGTCTGGTGCAGTTCTGGGGTTCGGGTGGCTGGCAGCGTGTCTGGTGCAGTTCTGGGGTTTGGGTGGCTGGCAGCGTGTCTGGTACAGTTCTGGGACCAGGATTTGGGTGTGTGCTGGGTTGTCCCTGGTGCAGTTAGTTCACGAATGAGGTTTGGGTATGTGCTGTGCTGTCCAGCAGAGTGAGGGCAATTTTCCTTCCATCTAGGAAGGCCTTGGTTCCTTGATTTTGTTTTTTTTTTTCTGAGATGGAGTCTCACTCTGCTGCTAGCCTGGAGTACAGTGGCGCAATCCTGGCTCACTGCAACCTCTGCCTCGAGGGTTCAAGCGATTCTACAGCGTCAGCCTTCTGAGTAGCTGGGACTACAGGCTCGAGCCACCATGCCCAGAATTTTTTTTTTTTTTTTTTTTTTTAGTAGAGACGGGGTTTCACCATGTTGGCCAGGATAGTCTCGATCTCTTGACCTCATGATCCGCCTGCCTCAGTTTCCCAAAGTTCTGGGATTGATCTTTTAAAGCAACCGTTTCTGCTCTTGGTCAGGCACACTGTGGGCAGGGCTTGGGCAGGAGCTCCCCATTGCTTGGGGTGTGAGCAAGGGGGTCTGTGTGGCAGCAGGGGGTGCCTTTGTGAGCGGGCTCAGGGCTACACTAATGACTGGGAACCAATTTGGGTGGTTCTGTCCTCCCCAGAGCTTTGCCCAGCTGTAGGCCCCCTCCTCTAGGAAGCCCTCCAGTCCTGAGGCCCCATCCCTCCCCGAAGGACGCAGGCAGGCCATGTGTGAGCCTGCAGAAACCAGGCCGGAAGAGGTCGGAGGGATTTATTAAGAGTTTATTGCCAGTCTGTGTCTGGGCAGCGGTCACCGGACTTTGTCCTTCCTCTGGGGCACAGGCTTTCTCCAGAGGAGCAGGAGGACAAGGACATTGACTGCAATCTGCACGTGGCCAAAGATGGGGACGCCAAAGCTGCGGTACAGGAGGCCACCGAGTGTGGGTCCCAGGGTTCGGAGCAGTGGCTGCACAGAGGCGCAGAGGCCCAGCATGGTCCCTGGAGGGCGGATGGGGGAGTCAGGCCCTGGGCAGCTCCCTGGGCAGTGGCCCACTTCCTGGACACAGCCATGGCCTGCTGCCGCTCCTAACCCCCCACAACCTCATGGCACAGTCCTCACCTTCATCGTCTGGTGAAATGCTCCCGAAAACAGCCCTCAGGACTTTCTACCTGCTGGTTTTGAACCTCCGGTCCCCCACCCCCTGCCACCCACCCGGCCTCCGGAGCAAACGCAGCTGTCTCTACCCACTGTGCCTGTTCCCTGAGGACCACTCAGCCGTGCAGAAGGCAGCACAGGGCACTTCCCAGGGCACTGGGCTATCTCTTCCCTGCCTCAGAAAGTTTCTAAGTGGAGGAGGAGCCTGGGAACAGGGCCACAGGTCACCGCAGCAGGAGATGGCATCTGCTTCTGGGGCCCGGAACCTCCCGCCCTAGGGTGTCAGGGCGGCTCTTTCCCAGGATGCACACCACCACTGAGGGCTGGTGATACAGTCGGGAGGCTGAGCCTGGCCTGAGATGCTGCTGGGGCTTGGGTTTAGAGTGGGCACGACGCCCCCACCCCACAGCCCCTCCTGGCCATCAGCCCTTCCTCCAGCAGCCCCATCTTGGAGAGCTGCTACCACTTCGTGGAACTCCCCCAACAGGGCCAGGGAGGGGCTTCGGGAGCCCACACACGGCCCCTCCACCTGCCCCTCCTGCAGCCCCAGCAAGACTGAGCCGCTCCCCAGGACCCTCGGATAGCTTCCACCTGTGCAGCAGCTAGCTCTGTCCCTGACACCCTGTCTCCACAGCCCTCTGGCCAGCTACCACCAGCATGGACAGACATGTGACACTATCTATGGCTGTTGTCAACACTGGGGCAACATGGAGGGCAGCACTCACTAAGCGGGAGGACCCCCCAGGACTCCAGGTGGGAGGACTCTCTGCCTCTGGTCCTGTGCCCAGAGGGTCACTGGCTTCAGGGGCTTCAGAGCCCAGGTCTCCTGGAGTTGGAAATCTCAGCCCTTCCAGGCTGGTGGTGGTGCCTGGGCCTGGCCTCCTTCAGCATCCAGAGCCCTCTTCCTCAGCTCTCCAGGCCTTCCTCTCCTGTGCCCTCCTCCTGGCCTCTCCAAAGTTCAGCCCAACCTCCTCCAGGAAGCCCTCCTGGCTCAGCCTGCGCCAGCCCCTGCACCATGGAGTCACAGTCCCAGAAGGCCTTGAAGGTTCCCAGGCAGCCCTGAGAAGAGGCCTACCCTTTGCAGCCCCCCCGACATCTGTACCTCCAGACCTTGGGCTGCCACCTCCCAGACAGGCAGCTGGAAGGAGGGTCAGACTTGTGCCCTGAGTTTTCTGGCTCTGCTGCTGGGAAGACCTGGAAGAACCTCCAGGACTCCAAAGGACTCCCTGAGTCCTGTGACCTCTGCCAGCCCCCAGGAGCCCCCTGCACTGGCCACTGTGTGCCCATACCGCGCCTGGGGTGAGGCAGGAGCCTGGGCACTGTTGGGACCAGGGCATCCCCAGACTGCATGAGGGGCTTTCTTAGGCTTCAAGAAAGAAAGTTAGGTCTGAAGTGGGGGCAGGGAGGTCTATATCGGGGGGCCCTGTGTCCCCCAAGTGGCCTAGGGACTTTCTGGATTTAATGGTGTGCATTCATTCACTCATTCATTCAGGAAGTTCCTGAGCACTTGCGTGACCCCCCACTGTGCTGGAGGAGGGCCCAGAAGTCCCTGGGGCTTCTGGGCCTGGAAGGCAAGACCCTTAGGTGCTTCTCAGAACCAAGCCAAATGCCACCTCCGGGCAGCCCCTCCCAGGCCCCTGGGCTGCCCCGAGCTGGGCTAGGTGGTGGGCAGGAGTCTCATGCAGGCCCCAGGCCCCCACCTTACCCACCCCACCCACCCCACACAGGCCGCAGGCCCCCACCTTACCCATCCCACACAGACCACAGGCCCCCCACTTTACCCACCCCACACAGACCACAGGCCCCCCACCTTACCCACCCCACACAGACCACAGGCCCCCCACTTTACCCACCCCACACAGACCACAGGCCCCCCACCTTACCCACCCCACACAGACCCCAGGCCCCCCACTTTACCCACCCCACACAGACCACAGGCCCCCCACCTTACCCACCCCACACAGACCCCAGGCCCCCACCTTACCCACCCCACACAGACCACAGGCCCCCCACCTTACCCACTCCACACAGACCCCAGGCCCCCACCTTACCCACCCCAAACAGACCACAGGCCACCCACCCCACACACCCCACACAGACCCCAGGCCCCCACCTTACCCACCCCAAACAGACCACAGGCCCCCCACCTTACCCACCCCACACAGACCCCAGGCCCCCACCTTACCCACTCCACACAGACCCCAGGCCCCTACCTTACCCATCCCACACAGACCCCAGGCCCCCACCTTACCCACCCCACAGAGACCGCAGGCTTCCACCCTCCCTACCTCACCCACCCCACACAGACCCCAGGTTTTTACCCCACACACCCCACACAGACCCCTGGACCCCACCCTATCTACCCCACCCCACCCAACCCACACAGACCCCAGGTTCTCACCCACCCACCCCACACAGACCCCAGGCACCCATCCCACCCACCCCACCCCACCCACCACACTCCAAAGGAGGTGCCAGGAATGCCACAGGCTTCTAGAGAGGCTGAGAGCCCCGCCCCCACCCTGGTGGATCCCAGAATAACCCCTCCCTTGATCTGGCTGTCAGGCAGCCATACTGGGTGGCCACACACCATCACCTGCTCCACCACCCCAGGGTCTGGTCCAGAGCCCAGGCCCCTAGACCATCCCACCCCCACTGGGCTTTTCCTAGGGCTTCCTGGAGGAGGCTGCCCACCAGCTGGCTGCAGCTCACCTGTGTCCGAGCTGGAGACGGCCTTGGTCAGCATGCTGTCGGTGACCACGTTGAGTGTACAGAGGCTCAACACCAGGCCGGGCACCAGGAGGCAGAAGTGGAAGACGCTGGACATCGAGGCCTGGGGCGGGCAGGTTGGAGCCGAGCTGAGTGGGGCCAGGGTCCTCCCTAGGGTCTTACCGGTCCCTCTCCACCCTGGCTGCTGCCCCTGCTGAAGGGCTGGCCCTGGGTGGCGGTGGAGGGTGGAGGGGGCCAGGAGCCCAAGCACAGATGGCACTGTCCAAAGTGGCCTTGCCCCAGTGAGAGGGTCAGGGGAGTGGGCCAGAGCGGGGAGCCCTCACCATGGCCAGGCCCACCACGATGAAGACCAGCACACTGGCGCGGAGCAGCGCCTCCTCTGAGAAGTGGCTGCTCAGCCACCCGATGACGAGGCCCTGGGTCACCTAGACCAGACAGAGAGGGTATTAGTGGGGATGGGGGAGGCGAGGGAGGGCCGTCTGGACCTTGGCCAGCCCCAACAGCAGGGACCTCCAGACTGGCCTGTGGGGTCCCTCTCCAGAGAAGGCCTCTCAGCATCTGCAAGCCCCTGGGGTCTCTCCCCACCCTGCCAGCAGTGACTGTGTCAGGATGGCTCCGAGGTCCCTGAGGAAACAGGGCTCCTCTCCACAAGGGAGGAAAGGAAGGCCCACACCAGGGACACCAGGGACGGACCTGGTGGGCCAGGCTGGGCTGCAGGCTGCTCCCAGGGACGGACTCAGTGGGCCAGGCTTGGCCATGGGCAGCTCCCAGGTCAGGGCTAGGCTCCCTATCTGGCCATCTCAGCTCCTCCACCGAGCAGGGAGAGCTGGGCCAACATGCCTGGAATGCAGGGGTGGTCCCGCTGGAGGGTCCCTGGGCTCAGTATTCACCTGCAGGGCAGGCCCAGCCCGCAGAACCTCTGGAGGGGACCAGCCACTCTCCCCATGTCCTGCCAGGCAGAACAGAAGCTGCTTCCAACCTGAACCACAAATGACTTAAAGACCTTACTTTCACACTTGCTTTACTTTAGGGTGTTTTGGGATTTTAAAAGCTTTCAAAGGAGGAGCTGGCAAATTTCACTCCGTGCAATGCACCTAGGAGGAGGTCACAGCGCCAGATGCTTATGTGTGTTGTGCCTCCATTTGCCCATTTAGTCTAAAAAAGCTTAAACTTAGAAGCCCTGCAGGCTTTGACCTGAACCTGGAGCAGAGCAGCCTGTCCCTGGCCGGTCTTGGGGCTAGGCTACTCTGCGGGCCCCTCCTCCCCGCCTCAGCCTCCTGTCCTGCTGCTCTGCCTGTCAGGGTCCCCAGGCCTCACCCCGCTCCTTCCCCAGCCCTGGGCGGTTCATCAGCCCAGTTCCTTCGAGGGCATCTCCATGGTGTCGGTCACCACCCAGCTCTGTCTGTCTCAGGCAGGGTCCCCACTGCAGCCACGCCAGGCCCAAGTGCCCCCGACACAGGCCAGGGGCTGCCATGTCCATCCTGGCTGCAGGCTTCAGCCAGGGTCTGATGAGGGTCTTACCCGCGGTGAGCTGGGCACAGCCTGTTCAGAACAGGCCCCGTGGCACCAGCCCCGGACTCTCACTGTTGTCGTTGCTGTTGTTTTTCTGTTTATCTCTTTGTACCCTGCCAGGGTGGCCCCGTGGACCTCAAAGCAGAAGCCCTTGCTGCCCACGGTGGGGGACCAGCCCCTCCCAGGAGAGGCTATTTTAGCACTTGTCTAGTCCTGGGCTCAGAGGCTGAAGAGCCAATGGCTTGGAGGTGCCAGGAATGCCACAGGCTTCCAGAGGGGCTGAGAGCCCCGCCCCCCACCCTGGTGGGTCCCAGAATAGCCCCTCCCTCACTCTGGCTGTCAGGCAGCCATACTGGGTGGCCGCACACCATCACCTGCCCCACCACCCCAGGGTCTGGTCCAGATGCCCAGAGGAGCTGGCGGCGGAGGGGGCTCGCCCTGGCCCAGGAGCTGAGCAGTTCTGGGGGGCTGGCAGACAGGACCCCTGCCTCGTCAGAGCTGCCAGGCTTTTAGGGCAATCTACAATGACAGCCTCGCCTCTGAGCGCTGGCGTCTTGCTCCTGTGGAACCTCCACAGGGGCCCACAGTGGTCTAAGTGCTTTGCCATGTCAGGTCACCTCATCTGCTAAGGACCCTGCAAGGTGGCACTTTGGCCTCATGGGGTGGATTTGGAGAGTTTGGGAGACTTGCTCTGGTCACACAGCTGGTGGACAGGTGGGCTGCCACAGACCCCAGCCGGCTGCATCAGGGGCCAGAGTCCACTGTCCTCACAGCATGCTTACCACTGCAGCTGGCCTGGTTCCCTGTGGACCCTGACATTGCCGGATGAAGGCTGAGGGCTCCCCAGCCTCTATCGGGAGAAGCGTTCACTCTCAGAGGCTGGCCCCACTGGAGACCCTCACCATGCCCTCAGCAGGCCCTGCGTGCCACTCACCATCTGGAGGAGCCCGAAGAAGGACATGAGGTAGCCAGTCTGGGCAGCCTCCAGCCGGAAGAAGTCCATGGAGATGATGGAGAACATGATCATGAAGAGCCCTGAGCCAGGGCAGAGGAGCAGGCGTGAGCACCACCGCACCCTGGCCTTTGCCTGTCTCCCTCCTGTCTCAGCAGCCTGACCAATCAGCCAGGGGGTCTGGGCCCTGGCCGGTGCCTGGTTCAGGGAGGGGCCTGTGGTGCCAGCCAGGCCAGTGAGACCCTTCCCTGGAATTCTGCCGGATCCCTGGTGTGGAAGGTGGCTCCTAAGGGGTTGCTAAGCTCTGGACTGTGAGCAGGAAGGCGCTGGAATGGGGGGACCCAGGGCTGACTACTTGGGAGGATTTGGCCCCAAGACCCACCCTGGGCCTCTGTTATAAAAGCCCACGAAGTCACGCCTGCAATCCAAGCACTTTGGGAGGCCGAGGAGGGAGGATTGGTTAAGGCCAGGAGTTTGAAACCAGCCTGGAAAACATAGTGAGACCCTGCCTTTACAAAAATTTAAATTAACTTTAAATTTTTAAATTTAAAATTTAAATGAATCCTCCTGTCTCAGCCTCCTGAGCAGCTGGGACTACAGGTGTGCACCAACACCCCCTAGAGTCCCAGCTGCTCAGGAGGCTGAGACAGGAGGATTGCTTGAACCTGGGAGGCGGAGGCTGCAGTGAGCTGAGATCACGCCACTGCGCTCTAGCCTGGGCAGTGGCCTCGAAATAAAAAAGGCTTCTGTTCCTGAGGTTAGTGACTTGGGCTCTAGTTTTGAGAATCAAAAGAGCCTGCCTAGGCGGGCTGGGTGGGACAGAGGCTGGGGCAATTGGAGGTCAAGGGCCCGTTCTCCATCCTGCTTCCTGGCATCCCAGTTAGAGGACCCTGGACGGAACTTCTGAGAGACGGGGCTGCCCATGGGCTTGTCCACGGCTCGCTGTTCTCTCTGGTCCGTGACACCCTAGGATCTGCTGTGTGGGCCAGCGTGCTTCAGAGGCGGTGCTGACACTCATACTTGCTTCCCTGCGTCTCAGGCTGCCCCAAGAGGATGTGGGGCCACAGGGTATGAGGATGAGAGCTGAGGGGTGCACTGCAGATCCCAGGGTGGGTCCCCATGGAGAGCGGAGAGCCAGGCCCTCTGCCTGTGGGGACCCGCCCTGAGGTCTGCAGGTTCACGGTGTGGAGGGGCTGCAGGGAGGTGGGAAAGACCCTTTTCTGCCTTCCTCCTGCTCCTGCCTGTGCTACCACCTCTGCGTGGACCTGAGGGGCACAGGCCAGAGGAAGGGCTGGGCCCTGGCCACAGCTGGAACTCTGCCAGGCTCTGGCTGCAGCCGGTGGCAGTTGAGGCTCACCTGAGGGGAAATTGGAGGCCACCTTGACCAGGAAGATCCTTGGGACGTCTGGCAGCCGCAGCAGGCTGGCAATGGCCTTCAGGTCAAACACACTGGCCCAGGGGCTGCCTGGCAGGGAGAGGCCAGTCAGGCCTGCGGAGGCCACGGTGCCGATGCCCACCCCTCACCCGGCTGCAGGCTTCACTGCTCCCAGGCCTCTGTTCTGCCTGCCAGGGTACATCTTTCTCCCTGGCTTCAGTGCCGCTTGCTCGTGGGTATGAGAGCTGGTGATGTTCCCAGCCCCGAGGTGGGCACCACCACTCAGCACACTTCCACGCGTGCCTAGGGCCCCCCGAATCCCCAGAGGCACTCAGGAAAAACATTCTCTGTGCACAGCAGCCCCTGAACAAGGGACCAGCAGCTGCTTCCTGTAAGGTCCTGGCCTGGGGCCTGGGCAGAGCGTGACCTGGCCAGCAGCCCAGAGGATGACAACGGCAATGCCATGCCACTCTGTGCTCACAAGTCACCACCATGCCCTGGTCCGCTGGACACCTCTGAGTGTGGTGCTGCGGGTCCCCCGCCGGGCTTATGAATTCCTCTGGCCCGCTGCCCTGGGGGCTGCTGCCCACTGCCCTGGGGGCTCCTGCCTCTCTGGCTCTGCTATGTCCCGCCACAGCCCTAGCTCCACCCAGTCCTTCCTCTGGACCTTCTGGGTTAATTCCATCACAGCCTTCTGTCCCAGAATGGCCCCAGGTGGGTTCCTCCATCCCAGGCTGGGCTGTTAGTCCGTAGGCATAGAGGCACGGGCCCTGCCATGTGTCCCATATGTAGGGGCCAGGCTCAGCAGGGGGCCACCCTTGAGGGGACTTCCTCTGGTGAGCCCCAGCCTTTCTTCCTGAGACCCGCCTAACCATCCTCTGTCCTCCACCGATCATGTGCCTGGGGGAGCACCCTCGCATCTCCCTGGGCATCTGGAGCCTCGGGAGCCTTGCCAGCCCACCCATCCTGTTGGGGGTCCCTCCTGGGCCTCCCCTCTTAGCGCCTTCCCCATCTGGGTCTCCCTGCCTGTCTGACCCTCACTTCCACCTTTTCATGACCACACCTCATTTGGCTCCTATGAAGTTGGCAGCCGGAAGGGGTTCAAGGAAGGCAGGAGGGTGTGAGTAGCCCCCCTCCAGATTCCCCTCCTGCCCCGTGCCCCTTGGCTGGAGCACACAGGCCTAGCCAATGCCTCCTATTGCCCCAGCATCCGGGCAGGGTGTACCTGGCGGGGCTTACCTGGTGGTGGAGCCTGGGCATCTGTTCTGGCCCCTTTGGTGCTGGTGGGGATGCAGGTGAAGCTGAGGACAGCTCCCAGGAGGGTGGCCACGGCAGCCAGGATGGCTGGGCACTGAATCCTGCGGGCAATAGCATTGGCTGCACAGGGCGAGGGTCCCAGGACCTAGGCGCCCGCTTCCTCCCGAGACCTGCGCCTTCGGCCGCACTATGGCTCCGACAGCTGAAAGCAGCCCAAGCCTGACCTCTCAGGTCCCCACAGTCTGTGACCTAAAGACTCGGGACCAGGACCCTCAGAGGACATTTACTCAGTGGTGGATGAAGGAACCGGTGAAGCATGCACTATCCCTGGCCCTCGCCATGGCACCCAGGCCCTGGCAGCCCCTGTGGGTGCCAGGTGTGGCAGCCAGGCTGCTGGGCGCCTGGGGTAGGTGGCACATCCTCCCAGGAACAGCAGCTCCCACACTAGCCAATGTCGGGAGAGGCTCCAACGGGCAAGTCTGGCGTGCGTGTCCCTGGGAGGGGCTCTCCAAGACCTGGGCACCCGTGCTGTGTTATGGGGATGGTCACCCTGCCTTCCCAGTGGGGGCAAGGGCAGGCCTGGCACTTAGCGGGCCCTCAGAAACTGCCTCCCCTCCTGACAGGACCCCTCCCCACTTTCTAGAGTGGGTGCAGCTGGGTTTGAAGAGAGCTTTGGGCTGGGGTTCATTCCAGAGACTTGCAATGCCCCGGATCTGCATCTCAGGCTGTTCGGCCACCTTCCCACCTCCTGGGCCACCGCCAAGGCCTGTGACTCTGGCTCTCCCGTCAGCTTCCCTGCCATGAGTCCCCACCTGGAAACTTGGCCTGGGATTCCCCTGGAAGGAACCAGCAGGCCTTGTCACCTGGAAACACAGGGGCCTGGAGTGGGCTGTTTTGTCACCATTGCCTCCTGGGGGCTGAGCCAGCCACCTCTGCTCAGGGAGAGGCAGGAGGAAACTGGGGGCTTCCCACTGAGCCTGGCTGTAAGGCCTCTAGGCCTGACCACCACAGCCTCCCTCAAAGCAGCTAAGCAAACTCCTAAACAGCCTGCAAGGGCCCTTCTCGGTGAGGCCCCAGCCCTCCTTCCCATTACAGCATGCCATGTGAGAAAGACTCACTTTACCCGCTGCTAGACTCGTCCCTGAGGCAGTGGGCTGAGGTTGGACCCTGCACTGAGACCGCAGTGATCATTAGATGATGGGACAAATGTGTGAGCCGATCACACAGGCAGCACAGGTTCTGCCCCAACCTCAGCAGAGCCCCCAAATCCACCCTGGTCCGGGCCTCAGGGCACAGACATAAGTAGGAGTCAGGGTCCTGGAAGGTGCCCTTGCACCCGAAAACACGGCCAGCCACAGACCAGTGTGTCTCCACCAAGTTCAAAGAAAGCCCTTTTCTCCGCCCCTCCTCACCAGAGTCACATGCACACACACACGCACACACGTGCACACACACATGCACACACACACGCAAGCACACGTGCACACACACATGCACACATGCACGCGCATGCGCCAACACACGCACACACACGTGCGTGCACACACGCACACATACACATGCACACACACACGTGCAAACATGTACCCATTTGCCAGAGCAAGGAAGGGACTTGGTGCCTCGCTGACTAGGACAGCCAGTGGGCCACCTCTGGGTACACAGTCTGGGCACTGGCCAGCTCTCATTTCTCAGGCGCGACCCCTGAGCTCACATGGGTGGGGGTAGGGGTGCCAGCACACATCCACCCCACCTGTGCCGCTGCCCCATCAATCCATCAAGGCAGCTCTGACCCTCCCCCCCCGCCCAGCACCCATGGCCCCCGGGGCGCCATATACTTGGGCTTTCTGGCTGCTGGGTTTCCACACGATTGGGCCCTTTCTTTGGGAAAATGCCAGGGAAAGGACCTGGCTGGGCTCCGGCCCCACAGCTTGTCCCTGCAGCCAGCAGGCACGGATGTGTGGTGTGGGAGGGATGCCTGGCTCCTGTAGCCAGCACCAGAGAGAAGGGACCTCTCTTTGGGACCCTGGCCTTAGAGGCCTGCACGTCACAGCTCAGGGTCTGGCTGGGCAGGGGCAAAACCTGCCTTCTTTGCCAGATGCCCCAGAAGTGCACAGGAGCAGAGGCGCCACTTCGATGGCTATTTTGGGAGGCTGGTGACAAGCAAGGCGTGGTGGCAGGGAGCCAGGCCCTTGAGTGGTGGCGGGAGAACCCAAGGCCAGCGCTGCTGTGGGCAACAGGAGAGCCTGGGGCTGGGGAGCCCTGGAGGGCCCCAGGAGTGAGTCAGGGCCCGAAACTGTGCCAGCGGCCACCGATGGCTGCTGGGGGAGACTTGGGCTGTCCTTCCCCAGTCAGGGCTCTCTCCTGCTCCCCCCACACGAACTGCCAGGAGTGGGAAGGACATCCAGCATGCCGGCCTCAGCCCCAGGGCCTCTGCATGCCTCGCCCGCCCCCACAGCCTGGTCATCCCCCAGGACCATTGAATCAACGTTCCATTCGCACAATGCAGGCAGCCCCTTCTGCTCAGCCCCCCTCAACCTCACCCTGACCTGCCCAGAAGCAGGGGCACGCTGGCTTCCAGGGGCGCATCCAACGCTTTTATCAATGGAGCCACAATCAGGAAGGCGGGGACAGCTTAATTGGTCTTTGTCCCCTCCTCCTCAGCTCACCTGCTGGGCGACCTCATTTCCTCTTATGCAAATGAGAGCTGGGCCGGCCCTGCTGCTCACCCCCTGTCCTGGGGCCCCTCTGGACCTGCAGGACCCAGCCCACCTGCATGCTGCCCAGACAGCAGGGAGTGGAGCTGCCTTTCAGCGGCGTCTCCAGGAACCTCTGCTGGTCTAGCTCCTGTACGGTCTCCAGTGACAAGCCTCATCTAGCCTCACCTTGCTCTGAGGCTCTGAGAGGTGACAGCAGGTGCCCAGGTCATCCTGCTGCCAGGAGCGAACCCACGGGAGGGGCGAGGCTGGGTCAGCTGGGACTTAGCTTCATGCGACCCCTGGGTCACAAGAGGATGGGGCATGGGGTGCCCAGAGCATCCCTGACATCCAGCCCAGGGCTGGGACAAGTCACCCCTGCCTGCCCCACAATGCTGTAGTTAGAACCACATCTGAAAACAAGAATCTTGCAGGGACACGCCGAGCTCAGCTGCCTTCTGGCTTCCAGGGTGCTCCAGAAGGTCCTACAGGCCCCTCTGGCCTCACCCCTCCCAGTCCTCGTGTCTCCCAGTACCTGGTCCCCCCACTCCCCAAACACACAGCCCTTCAGCCAAGCCACAAGCTCCTCTTTCCCCAAATGGGATCTGGAGTGACTCAGGGCCAGCAGGAGGCCTGTCCAGCTCGGCCGCTGCTCCCCAGGCTGTTCTGAGGGACAGCAGGGCCGGGACCATCTCGGTGGGGCCTGCTCCCTCCCCGCTGGGGAAAGAACGGAAAGAGCCAGAGTGCCCCAGGCCCTGGGAAGCACTCGGACAAGGCAACAGCTGAGCCTCTCTGGCTCTGGGGGCTCCTGCCTCTCTGGCTCTAGGGCTCCTGCCTCTCTGGCTCTAGGGCTCCTGCCTCTCTGGCTCTGGGGGCTCCTGCCTCTCTGGCTCTGGGGGCTCCTGCCTCTCTGGCTCTAGGGCTCCTGCCTCTCTGGCTCTAGGACTCCTGCCTCTCTGGCTCTGGGGGCTCCTGCCTCTCTGGCTCTGGGGGCTCCTGCCTCTCTGGCTCTAGGGCTCCTGCCTCTCTGGCTCTAGGACTCCTGCCTCTCTGGCTCTAGGGCTCCTGCCTCTCTGGCTCTGGGGGCTCCTGCCTCTCTGGCTCTGGGGGCTCCTGCCTCTCTGGCTCTGGGGGCTCCTGCCTCTCTGGCTCTAGGGCTCCTGCCTCTCTGGCTCTGGGGGCTCCTGCCTCTCTGGCTCTGCTATGTCCCTCCACAGTCCTAGCTCCACCCAGCTGGGGTGGGGGTGGGCCCGGGTCCCCCATATCCTGCTGCCCCCTCCACTGCCTGTCAACCCCTGCCTCCCCCACACAGCAGGTGCCCTGTTACAGACACCTCTGCACCCCTCAGCTTCTGCTCAGTGCTTGGGGTGCCCCGAGTCATGTGTGGCGCTGCTCCCCTCCCTTCCCACCTCGTCCTGCCTCTCTGAGCGCCAGCACCCCTGGCTCCTCGTTTCTTCTTGTCTGGGTACTGGCTCCCCCATGGCATGGGCATTGCCCTGGTGGCCGCCTGTCCACCCAGAGAAGGCAAACGCTGCAGGGCTCCCCGCTGTCTGATGCAGGGAGGACTCTATGGCTCTCTCCATCCCTCCCCAGGCTGTGAGGGTCTGGGCTCAGAACATGAGTCATAGAGCCACCCCCACACCCAGCGTGTGTGCAGTGACTCAGGTCTTGGGTCCCTCCCCAGGCCAGCCTGGTCTCTCAGCCCTGGGCTCCAGAGGCTGGGCCCAAACCAGTTATACAAGTGCCTGCCCCCACAGCCTGTGGGTGCCAAGTCCACTTCCTCCTCCTACCTGCTGCCCAGGTGGGTGCGGACGAGACAGGACTGGAGCCTTTCAGGTGAATGGGATACACAGGTGGGTGGGCAGGGAGGAAGACCCCATGTGTGCTGTGCCCTGGTTTCCATCAAGGAAGGGCAGGAAGGCTGTGAGGAGGGGCGTTCACAGCTGCACCAGGCTCCTGCCCCTGGCTAGGCCAGGAGCCAGAGCTGGCTGGGGGCTGCCAGACTGAGGAGGCCAGGGGGCTGGCCCTTGCCATGGGGCACGAGGCCTCGGAGTCTGGGTGGCACTGGCCTCACTGCCTTCGGTGAGCCCCTGAAGAGGAGATGTGGGCCTCCCTCTCCCCATCTGGGTTGGACAAAGGCAGAGTTCCAGCCACGAGTTTACCCCCGCAGCCCTCCCACCACCACTCTGGGCAGCCAGCTTTCCCATAGGCCCATACAGTGCCCTGAGTCTTGGGTGTGGTGTGAGGATCCTGAGGGAGTCCCACACCACCTGAGCCTTGGACAGGGACCGGGAGGGCTATGGAGGTAGTCTCACCATCTCCCAGGCCTCAGTTTCCCCATCCATCAAAGGAACTGTCATAGCTGGCCTGGTGACGAAACGTCAAGGATGTAGAGTGCCTGGGGTCCTGGGATGAATGGAGGCAGGGAAGCCAATGGAACACACTGGCAGGCGTGGGTAGGGGGAGGGGCTGTCTTGGCGGCCGGAGGGAGGGAGAGGGATGTGAATGGTGTGCTCGGTCAGCAGTGGGGACAGGGAAAGGACAGGAGAGACGGGAGGGACCCATGGCCTGGGAGGCGGGCCTGCAGGAGGCATGCGTGCTGAGCTGCTCCAGCGTGTTGGCCCCGCTGTGCGAACCAGCTTGGACCCTCCAAGCATCCCTCTGGGAGAGTGAGGGTGCGGGAGGGCCCATTTCCTAGGTGAGGACGGGAAGAAGACAGCAACAGGTGGCTGGGCCCCGAGCCAGCAGAGTCCCCGGGGTGGGCAGCACCATGGGAGAGCGGCTGCCCAGCTCGGCCACCTGCCAGGGCCCAGCACTCCTCCCTGTGCCCTGCTCACACCCCCACTCACCCCAGCCACCCTCGAAAGACAGGCCCTGGGTGGTGCCGGCTCCCCATGCCTCACAACTGCCACCCTCCTGGCCTCAGGGGAAGCCGTCCCTGCAGTCCCGCCACTGCTGCCCACACAGGTGCCCTGGGCCCCATCCTCCAGGGACACCCCACCAGCCCTGTGCTCAGCTCCCACATCAGCCCTCCTCTTTACCTGGGGCGCCTCCTCAGGGCTCCTCCTCCCTGAGCAAAGCCCCCAGAACCCTCCTCTGCCCTGCTTACAGCTCAACTCCCCGACCCTTCTCCTGTCTCCTTGTTTCCCTGGACCTGTCTATTGCATGAGGCTCCTGCGGCTGGCACCGGCACCTGGGGATGGCTGCCCTGCTGCAGACACTGGGTCACTGTGCCTTCCTTGGCCACCAGCAGTAGAGGCCCAGGTCCCTGCCCCCCTCGAACCCCTCAGCCCTTGACTCCCGGAAAGTGCTCCCTCCTCATCCTCTCTGTTCTCCCTCCTCGCCTCCCAGCCCCAAAACACGAGTGCTCAGTGAGTAGTTCCGGGCCTTCCACACCTGAAGACCTGCCCTATTTCTCTCCCTTATCTGGGTCCCTACTCAGCAGCTCCCTTGAGTGCTCAACAAGCACCCTGTCTGGGCCTGAACAAGACCCAAATCCCGGTGGCGCCTCAGGCTGCTCGGGCCTCTGTGCAAGGCTGCCAGGCTCCCCGGGACCAGCCCCAGGTGCAGACATGGCTTTGGCATTGCCATCTTGAGTTCACCCCCACATCCCGCCCATTGGCAAAGCCAAGCCAGAGTCCGCCCTCTGCCCTCTCCCACCACTCACCTCCAGTCTGGCCACCATCCTTGGCTGGCAAAGTGGCTGCCCTACCGGTCTCCCTGCAGGGGTGTCCAGCCCCCATCTCACCCCTGCTGTGCCACCCAGGGTGCCCCAGCCTGGCGCCTGCCCCTCCTCCCTCCCTCCAGCCGCACAGCCTCCTGGTCATCACGCCCAGGTCTCTGCACCGTGGCTTCTTCGCCTCTCCCACCCGATTCGGGCCTCGACTCAGATGGCACCTGCTCACAGTCCCCAGTGACCCTGTCCACTGAACCCCCAGTCCTGCTTTGTGACTTTCTGCTCCATGTAGCTCAGCTGACGTTATGGGAATTCGTATCACATTCACTTCAGCCCAGGGACTCAGCCTGTGCTGTTCACCATCGTGGTCATCCTGGGGGCACCAATCAGGTGTTCAGAAAACATCCCTGAGTAGACAAACTGCTCACCCCCCACCACCGTCCCGCTCACGGCCAGCAGCAGCCATCAGTCAGAAGCGCAGCCTCTCATGAAAACGCTGGAAGAACGCTCAGGGCCTCACTTAAGGCCCCCAGTGAAGCACTAGCGACCTGCAGAGAAGGAGAGGCGCTAACAAGGCCGTTGAGACCTCCCTGCGCTGGGGCTGTGCCAGCACACAGCTGCCTCCACCATGGTTGGGTTTTGCCTTGAGGTCCTGGGGAGCCCAGGCTGCAGCCCCTAGGGGGCGTCTGGCCTGGGAACTGCCATCAGCTCATCCAGGGCTGGAGAGCCTGGTGTCCACATAAGTGCTGGCCTCATGCTGAGGGGCACCCCCAGTGTGTGGGAGTTCAGATGCCAGGAAGGCTCCACGCCAGATGGAGCCTCAGAGAAACTCACAGGCCAGCAGAGGGTGGGGGTCAGGGCCTGGGAAGACCCTGGGTATAGAATACAAGCCGGGGGAAGGGGCACAGCTGTAACTTCATCTACCCTCCCAGGACCATTCCCCTCCTATCAGGATTTACATTTCAGAGCTGAGGAAACTGAGTCAGGAAGAGCTGACATCAGGAGACAGCAGATCCATGGATCCTCCTGCCAGAGTCCTGCTGCAGCCCCTCTCCCTGGGGAACCCTCTCAGGCACAGCCACCCTTGCAGCCTCCAGAGACAGCTGGCAAGGGACTGTCAGGAGGTGAGTGGGAAGCCCACTCCCCCCCATGCTCATGCTCCCTCCGGCCTCCTGGCCACTGTCCGCTCTGGCTACCATCCAACAGCTCAGCCCGGCTGCCGTAGCATCCCAGACCCCAGCAGGAGGCTGCTGGGGGGCTTCCCTCCTCTTAGGGCCTCAGTTTCCCCAGTGTCCCAGTGAGGCTGTGCACAGACAGCTTCAGTGGCACCCCGGCCAGCACTAGGACATCACTGAGACCCATCGAGGGCCAGCCTGGGAGGTCAGGCCTAGGCCTTGCATGGGGCCAGGTGTCCCTGCAGCCATGCCACATGGCCACCTGTGCCCCCAGTTCCCAGCCCAGCCTGCCAGACAAGCAAAAGGGGAAACCGAGGTTGAGAGGGGGCCGAGGGCGTCCTGACCCCGAAGCCTCCATCTCGGCCCCTCCACTCACCCATACGCAGAGATCAGGGTCCCACCCAGCAGGGAGCCGAGGATGACGCCGCCTCCGAAGCAGAGGCCCAGCCGGCCCAGGGCCGCAGGCCGTTCCTCGGGTGCCAGCAGGTCGGTGATGACCATCTGGGCGGCTGGGGAGGGGACAGGGGGGCTGAGTAGTGAAAGCCCCTCGCTGTACCCTTCACCACGACCCACCTCCCTCAACCCCTTCCACCTCCACCTGCCCCTCCACAAGCCACACTGACGTCACCCCCAACCCCTGTCCAGCCCTCAGGGCCAGACCCCATCCGCACGCCGACCTCCCTAGCAGTGGCCCGGTCCTCCCAGGTTGCCCCCGCCCCAGCCCCACCTGTCCCCCAGCCCCCGGGCCTACCTGGCATCGTGTGCATGAGTGCCCCAGGCAGGCGGGAGGCGAAGAGCAGGTAGACCCCAGGCAGGGCTGGGCTGGAGGCGGCCACCAGGAGCAGGTAGAGTGCCAAGGCCGCCAAGAAGGAGAGGGTGAGCGCTGCCCGTGCCCCACGCTGGTCTGCGAACCTGGGGCCCGAAGGGCGGGTCAGACCCTCATGGAGGCAGTCAGGGTCCCTCTTCCCCTTGCCCAGGGGCTAACCCGGAAGGCCGGAGTGCAGATGGGGACGAATGGCCTGAGAGCCTGGGTGGCTGCTGGGAGGCCTCCCTCCTCTCAGGGCCTCAGTTTCCCCAGCGTCCCAGTGGGGCTGTGTGCAGACAGCTTCACTGAGCGTCGAGACTGACCCACGGGAAAGATCAACTCCGTGTAAAATAAATGATGGAATCCTGGCTGGGTGCGGTGGTTCATGCCTGCAATCCCAGCACTTTGGGAGGCCCAGGTGGGTGGATCACCTGAGGTCAGCAGTTCGAGACCAGCCTGGCCAACATGGTGAAACCCTGTCTATGCAAAAATTAGCCAGGCATGGTGGCAGGTGCCTGTAATCCCAGCTACTTGGGAGGCTAAGTCGGGAGAGTCGCTTGAACCTGGGAGGCGGAGGTTGCAGTGAGCTGAGATCACACCACTGCACCACTGCATTCCGGCTGGGTGACAAGAGCAAAACTCCGTCTCGAAAAAGAAAAGAAAAGCGAAAAGTAAAGAAAGAAAAAGAAAAGTCAGAATTGCAGGTGGCCAAGGGATGGGCCTGAGTTTTACAGACTGTTTCCCAGCTCCTTTCTCCCTCCCGCTCCGGGCCAGCGGAAGCCCTCCCAGAGACCGCTGCTGGTCTGCTGCCTAAGGCACTGCTTCATTTCTACCAACCCCTAAGGGGCTGCTCTGACCCTTGCTGCTCTGTCCGATGTGGCTTGTGGGAGGATGTCCCTGTGCTGTCCGGAGCTTAGTGTTCCGGTAGCACTGAGACCCGGGGTGTATGGGGCCCCCAGAGTCCCTCCTGCTTGGCCCTGGCAGGCCTATGGGTTGGGTGCTTACGGCCATGAGGTGTTCACCAATCACACTGTCTCTCTGGCTATGGCCAGGATTACGGAAAGCGTGGGGTGGGACACCCAGGGAACCTAGCAGGGGCCAAAGCTCTTCTGCACTCCCATCAGGCTGTGACACAGGAGTGCCATTATCCCAGTGGGGTCTGGTGTGGGGTTGGGGAACCTGGCTGGTCCCGGCCATGGTGTCTGAGAGGACCTGGGTCATTGTGGGGAGAGCCCCCTGCACACACACACTGTACCTGCCAAACACCGGCCCACACAGCAGCTGCAGCACCCCGAAGATGGTTTGCAGGTAGCCGAAGGCAATGGAATCCAGGCCCAGTTTCCGAGACAGGTACTGAAACACAGGAGTGAGCCTGTGGGGAGGGGCCAGGAAAGACCGCAGGACCCGGAATCTGGGGTTCCCGATGGGCCAGGGGTGGGGGAGGAGGGAACTGATGGTGAGCCTGTGGGGAGGGGCCAGGAAAGACCGCAGGACCCGGAATCTGGGGTTCCCGATGGGCCAGGGGTGGGGGAGGAGGGAACTGATGGTGAGCCTGTGGGGAGGGGCCAGGAAAGACCACAGGACCCGGAATCTGGGGTTCCCGATGGGCCAGGGGTGGGGGAGGAGGGAACTGATGGTGAGCCTGTGGGGAGGGGCCAGGAAAGACCGCAGGACCCGGAATCTGGGGTTCCCGATGGGCCAGGGGTGGGGGAGGAGGGAACTGATGGTGAGCCTGTGGGGAGGTGCTAGGAAAGGCTGCAGGACTTGGAATCTGGGGTCCCCGATGGGCAGTGGGGGGAGGGAACGGAGGGCCCGGGCTCTGTTGACTACACAATGTGAAGGTCGACGGGCCCTTCCCCGAAGGACCCTACTTCTCTCCTAGGCGGGAGCCCACGGTGGCCTCTAGGGTCCTTCCCCTCTGTGGGGTACACCTCAGAGAGGCACCTGACCCCCACCATTTTGTCTTCATTCATTCAAAACTTTGTAGGGAAGCCAGCAGCACTGTCCTGGCCAGCAACAGATTATCCCAAAGCCCCTGAATGACCTCCAGGAGGTGGCCCATTGCCCCGAAGGACAGTCTGCTTTGTGAGGCCCCAGCCCCTCAGCTCCTCGGGAGGGGTAGGCCCGTGACAGCATCCCTCCCAGGGACACCCCTCCTATCACTGCCCTCATTCTCCCCGGGAGCCGCTCCTCCCCCGGCCCCTGCCTCTGAGTCCCTGACCCTCCTTCCAGTGATGTCACCATGGGTTAATTGTGCACTCCCAAATTCATATGTCTTAAGCCTCAGAACCTCAGAATGCGACTCTAAGGAAATGGGGTCTTCCAGAGTTAATAGGTTACAGCAAGGACATGAGGGAGGGCCCTGATCTAATGTGACCGGTGTCCTCAGTGGAAGGGGAATTTGGGACACAGACACGCTCGGAGAGATGACTTTGTGAAAACCCACAGGGATTCGGGGCGATGAGGCCACAAGCCAAGGGAAGTCTGAGCTCCCAGGGGCTGGAAGAGGTGGGAGGGACCCTCCCCTGTGGGGTTCAGAGGGGGCTTTGACCTCAGACTTCTGGCCTCCTGAACTGTGAGACAAGCTTTCGTGGCTCCAAGCCCCCTTGACTTTGGATACTTTGTTATAGCAGCCCCAGATGCTAGTACACTGCCCCCCGTCATACGCTAGACCTTTCCCAGAGCTCAGTCTTGGGGTCCCACTCCCCTTCTTTCCTCTGTCCCCCTTGGTCCACACGGATTCTCTCTAGTGCACTTCAGTCCCAAGAGAGTCAGCAACCCCTCCCTCCCCCAACCCCAGACTCCTTCTTTCAGTTCCACCCCTGCTCCCTCGACGCTGGGGAAGCCCCCCATCTACCAGGTCACTTCTGTCTGTAAGCTTCACCTGACAATCCTCCCACGTTCCCCTAGTAAACCTCTGCCTCCTCCATCCCTCCCCTCCCGCCCGCTGCTAATGTGAGGATGCTGAGCTCCTCATCCCATGCCTTCCCGCCTGGCCTTCCACGTCATCCTCCTGCCCGAGTCACATCCCAGCCTTTTCTCCCAGTGCTCCTTTCTCCCAGTTTCTCTGCACAGTCCCCTTCTGGGAGAGGTTGCCCACTGGAGCAATCACACCCCCTGTTACTTCTCCTGCCTTTTCTTGACCCTCCCTACAGCTACTCCCACATATTCCCTGGCAGAGCTCTGAGCAGCTGCTGCCCCTTGCAGCCTCCTCTCATTCCATCTCTCCTCTCCCAGCCCCGGGAGCAGGCCCCCGCCTCCCGCTGCCTCCCCCTCCCCGAAGTCCCTGCTGACCCACACTGCTGCTTCCAGTGGGCTACTTTGGCACACCTCCCACTGGAGTGACAACTGTCTCGGTGGCTTCCTCCCTCCTCCACCATGGTCTGCTGCTCTGAGTCGTGCTGGGTCCCCTTGCCCCACCTCGGCCACCACTGCCAGTTCCCCCAGCTCATCCGACCTCAGCCTCCCTGCCCTCCGGGGGGGCCCACCCACGACCCCCTCCATGCTGCAGGGTCCCGGAGCCTCTGTGCTGAACTGCCTTGTGCCAGCTTCCTTCGGCTCTCCACTAAAATCGTCTCAGACTCAACCCGTCCCCAGCTGGGCTCCCATCTTTCCCCAAAGACTGCCTCTCCTCCTGTCCACTCTCCTTCCTTCGGGCTCAAGCCCAAATCTTCAGGGCTCCCAAGCCCACTTCGACTCACACCCCCTGCAATCCCTCGACAACACATGCCAACTCCAGCCACCTGTCACCTCCCCGCAGCCATCCCCAGCCGAGTCCTTTGAGTGGCAGGTAGAGTGTGGTCCCATTCTGGCCTCAGCCTGTCCACTCCAGCCACTCTGGCCGCTCTACTGCCCCGGGCCTCTCCTGCTTCCTTCAAGCCCTGCTCCAAGGTTGCCTTCTCCACGGGGACGACCCCACCCCTTCCCGCTGCAGTCCCTGTGTGTTTGCTGTGGACGGTCATCTTGCTCAGCACCAGGGTGTGGGTTGTTGGGGACTTTATGCTCTGTAGTACTGCAGGCTGTGACATCAGGGTCAGCTCCTGGGCCCAGTGCGAGTTACTGAGTGAAAACATGCCCCTCCCCATGAGTGTGCGTGGCCAGCCAAAGCCACTCCACCTGTCTGTGCCCAGCTGGTGAAAGGGCTGTGACTTCTCACTCTGGCCCACACCACCCCACAGGTAAGGACTGTTATAACACATTTTATGATGAGAAAACCAGGGCTCCCGCCCAGGCTTCCCCACTGCTGAGGAGGAGATTCAGGGCCTGACCCAGGCCATTTAGTGGGAGTGGGCTAGGCTCCGAGGCACGGCGGAGAGGGATCCTTATGCTCATCATTGGGCTGGAAGCCTGTGCCATCCCCACTCCCACCCAGATGCCCAGGTCCAGGCTCTGAGGGCTCAGAGGAGGAGGGCCGGGCTTCCCAGAAGCAAACGTCGAAAGGCCCTAGTTTGGCCCCGACTCTGCCTGTGCTTCTTGGCGATGTGCGACGTTGTTCCCAAGCCTCTCCAGACGTGGTGAAGATGACTTCATCACCGCACTCACAGCGTCAGAGCCACACACTGTGCTCCAGGCCGCTGAATGGTACCGCAAACTAGCGTGACTTTGCCGATGAAATGTTTCCGCACGTGGCAACGGAGATGCTGAGGTAAAACTGCCTTCTCTCTCCTTCATGAAAAAGCTTGAGATCGGCCGGGCGCGGTGGCTCACGCCTGTAATCCCAGCACTTTGGGAGGCCTAGGCGGGTGGATCACGAGGTCAAGAGATCGAGACCATCCTGGTCAACATGGTGAAACCCCATCTCTACTAAAAATACAAAAAATTAGCTGGGCATGGTGGCGCGTGCCTGTAATCCCAGCTACTCGGGAGGCTGAGGCAGGAGAATTGCCTGAACCCAGGAGGTGGAGGTTGCGGTGAGCCGAGATCACGCCATTGCACTCCAGCCTGGGTAACAAGAGCGAAACTCCATCTCAAAACAAAGAAAGAAAGAAAGAAAAAGCTTGAGATCAGTTTGCCACCACAGATCACTTAGTGGACAAGGGCCCAGGAGGATGGAGTGGGGAGACATCAGCCGGCGGCAAGGCAGGGAGAGCCTCTCCGAAGGACGATGTGCCAGAGTCCAGGCAGGATTGACCAACCCTTGGGGCAGGAACTCCAGAGGGCAAAGGCTGCTGGTGAGAGGCAGGAGGAGCTATGCACTAGCGGGGCTCTGGGAGGTGCTGCCCCCGGAGCGAAGTGGGGCGGCTCCCCACGGCTTCTCCCGGGGGCTGGGACTGCAGCCAGAATGCAGGATGTGCTGACGGGGGTCCAGAGGCAGAAGCCTGGGTCCCTTAACTTACTCAGCTTAAGCATGGCGTGGGGTCCCAACCGGGAGGGGCCCTGGCAGCATGAAGCTCCCACTCTCTGCCACCGCCCAGATGGAAGGTAGGAGGAACAGGGGGGCAGCCCTGGCTGGGGCAGCAGGGGCTGGGGCATGTTACTCACTGGTACAATGGAGAACTGCATGAAGAGGCAGGTAAACTCGATGGTGGCCAGCACATAGGTGAGCAGGATGACCAAGGGCCGGTCCAGAGCGCCCATCCTGCTGTGGGACTGGCCCTGGTCCCTGGGAGCCCAAGCTCCCTGCATCCTGGGCAGGTGCCGCAGTAAGACCCAGGAGAGATCCAAGCAGGAGGCTGGCGGAGCAGGGGCCAAAAGTCCAGTTGATCTGGGCGGGGGTGCTGAGTCACTGGGTCCCAGGCAGCACCCCCGCAGCCTTGCCTGCAAGAGAGGACAGTGCTGCAGGACCCCCACAGCAGGGCTCTCCTGCCACCTGGACCTCAGAGGACCCATCAGGTGCCCCCCACCTTCTCCACTTTTGACAACTGCTGGTCTCCAGGCACATAGCCTCCATGGGAGGGGAGGCAGGGACACACTGCTCCTGGGCCAGCCTCCGTGCCCGGCTCAGTGGCTGGATGCCTGACACAGGAAGGTGCCATGCCCCACTTTTAGAGAGAGGCAGGGGCTCGGAGGGGTGACTGTATGCAGCTCAAACATCAGAGCCTTCTGTGGCCAGAGGGCTGATTTGGGTCCCTGTGCCTGGGGGTCCTCCTTAGGCCTACAGTGGCCCTGTCCCCAACACGGCTCTCAGGGAAGGCTTACCTTCCTCTGTGGCAGCAGCCAGAGCTCCAAGGGGCTTCTGGATTGGTCTTGGAGTGTGTAGGGGAGAGAGCGCAGTCTTGCAGGCTCCCCAGGCCAGGCAGCAGCTGCCTCACCTCCCACAGCAGGGTGCTGTCTGTCCCGCCCTTCCCCTGCTGGCGTCTAACTGGTGGGTACTGGATTTTGCGCCTGCTGAAGCCTTCCCCAAAATTTGCCACATTAACACCTGACTGCACATCTGGGCCGGTGGGGCAGGACGGGAGCTCCCGGGTGCAGGAAGGCAGGGCAGCCCCAGCAGGCACGTCGGGGGCACCTCACTGGGCAGAGGAGCGACGCTGCTCCGGAGTTCGGGTTTCGGGGCTCAGGGGCCGCCCTCGCCGGGGTGTGCTTGGGTACCTGCCTTCGCAGGGGTGGGCTTGGGCACGGGTGCCGGTGGGGTGAGCTCTCCTGCTGACCTGGGCACCGGTCCTTCCGCATAGAGCCCCGGCCCCGCCCTCGCGGAGGCTGACCTGGGACAGGCACCGCCCCTCTGGGGCCGAGTTCCCGCACTCACCGTTTGCCACTGCGCGTTCCCGGAGCGCCCTCGCCGCTGCCTCTGCGCTCTCATTGGCCGAGCCCGCCTCGCCCCCCCCCCCCCAGGGCCCGCTCCTTCCCCGCCCACCCGTGGGCCCGCCCCATGCCTGGCTTCGCCCGCCCCAGCCCTCTGCAGCGTGGATCCGGCCCGGTGCCCTCTGGAGGCGGACACTGACCCTCAGGTAGCACAGGGGCCCACTGCGGACCCCAGGAGAGGCAGTGTGGGGCTGGAGGCAGGCGCAGTTGTGGGAACAGCTCTGGGCCCCTCCTCACTTCACCCCCCAGACCTGGAGGCTGCTGGCCGCAGCTGAGAGCCCGCTTTCCCCATTGCACCCTGCCTGCCCCTTCCCCAACCCTTGCAGGGGCCACCAGAGAGGCAGGCACACAGGTAAACTGGCCTCATGCTGCTCCCGCCGCTGGAGCCGCTGGAATCTGGGTGGACATTCCCAAATCTCCATTCTTGATTCTGTGCGCACACAAGCCGCGCTGAGCACACTTGGCTAGGGCCCTGCCCTGACCTGGGCACCATTCTCCCGCCTCTGTCACTAAGTAAGGAGGCGCTCACTCAGGACGCCTGCCCCAGCCACCTGCCCAGGCAAGGGCGGGCACAGGCCCAAATGTCAAAGCCAGTGTCTCCCTGCCTTGTGTCAAGTGTAGCTCAACAGAGCAGAAAACTGCAGTGGGTGGAGGGTCCTGAGACAGGGTGGGGCGGACATCGCAGAGGCGAGGGAGAGCCGTCCAAAGTCCTGGTGGATAGGGGCAGAGCCAGGTAGCCCAAGGCCGGCTGGCTGGTTCATTTGAAGTCGTCGTGGGAGAGGGTTCGGCAGCTCTCGGTTCAGCAGCTCAGCTGTGTTGGGTCTCAGAAAATGCCCCAACACGAAGCCTCAGAAGCAGCTTCGGAAGCAAGAGTTTTCCTCTGACCTTCTGCTCTGCTCTCAGCGCCATTCTTCCCCAAAGCTGGCCATAGAAACTAGAATCCCTTTTCCCCAAGGCAGGCCATAGAAATCTGAACCCCAACTCTGTTCCCACAGCCAGACATCAAACCTAAATATCTCTCTAACTTTCCCTCCACCTCTCTGTTTAAAAACTGGCCTTAAATAAATGATCTGACCTGCCTTATTGGACCATAGGGCATGAGACTCCATTCCAGGAGGGTCCTGCCCATGCCCACGAGGAAGGAATGCTTCTCAAGAAAGTTCACGAAATCTAGAGCGACGGCCCTGCTGCATTTTGGCTCACAGCCCAGTAGGGTTAGTGCGGTGGGGTTAGGGCAGTGGGGTTAGGGCAGTGGGGTTAGTGCAGTGGGGTTAGTGCAGTAGGGTTAGGGCAGTGGGGTTAGTGCAGTGGGGTTAGTGCAGTGGGGTTAGTGCAGTAGGGTTAGGGCAGTGGGGTTAGTGCAGTGGGGTTAGTGCAGTGGGGTTAGTGCAGTGGGGTTAGGGCAGTAGGGATAGTGCAGTGGGGTTAGTGCAGTGGGGTTAGGGCAGTGGGGTTAGCACAGTGGGGTTAGCACAGTGGGGTTAGCGCAGTGGGGTTAGGGCAGTGGGGTTAGGGCAGTGGGGTTAGCGCAGTGGGGTTAGTGCAGTGGGGTTAGGGCAGTGGGGTTAGCGCAGTGGGGTTAGGGCAGTAGGGTTAGTGCAGTAGGGTTAGGGCAGTGGGGTTAGTGCAGTGGGGTTAGGGCAGTGGGGTTAGGGCAGTAGGGTTAGTGCAGTAGGGTTAGCACAGTGGGGTTAGGGCAGTGGGGTTAGTGCAGTGGGGTTAGTGCAGTAGGGTTAGGGCAGTGGGGTTAGGGCAGTGGGGTTATTGCAGTGGGGTTAGGGCAGTGGGGTTAGGGCAGTGGGGTTAGGGCTGTGGGGTTAGTGCAGTGGGGTTAGGGCAGTGGGGTTAGTGCAGTGGGGTTAGGGCAGTGGGGTTAGGGCAGTGGGGTTAGTGCAGTAGGGTTAGGGCAGTGGGGTTAGGGCAGTAGGGTTAGGGCAGTGGGGTTAGGGCAGTGGGGTTAGGGCAGTAGGGTTAGGGCAGTGGGGTTAGTGCTGTGGGGTTAGGGCAGTGGGGTTAGGGCAGTGGGGTTAGTGCAGTGGGGTTAGGGCGGTGGGGTTAGGGCGGTGGGGTTAGTGCTGTGGGGTTAGGGCAGTGGGGTTAGTGCAGTGGGGTTAGGGCAGTGGGGTTAGTGCTGTGGGGTTAGGGCAGTGGGGTTAGGGCAGTGGGGTTAGGGCAGTGGGGTTAGTGCAGTGGGGTTAGGGCAGTGGGGTTAGGGCAGTGGGGTTAGTGCAGTGGGGTTAGGGCAGTAGGGTTAGGGCAGTGGGGTTAGGGCAGTGGGGTTAGTGCAGTGGGGTTAGGGCAGTAGGGTTAGGGCAGTGGGGTTAGTGCAGTGGGGTTAGTGCAGTGGGGTTAGTGCAGTAGGGTTAGGGCAGTGGGGTTAGTGCAGTGGGGTTAGTGCAGTGGGGTTAGTGCAGTGGGGTTAGGGCAGTAGGGATAGTGCAGTGGGGTTAGTGCAGTGGGGTTAGGGCAGTGGGGTTAGCACAGTGGGGTTAGCACAGTGGGGTTAGTGCAGTGGGGTTAGGGCAGTGGGGTTAGGGCAGTGGGGTTAGCGCAGTGTGGTTAGTGCAGTGGGGTTAGGGCAGTGGGGTTAGCGCAGTGGGGTTAGGGCAGTAGGGTTAGTGCAGTAGGGTTAGGGCAGTGGGGTTAGTGCAGTGGGGTTAGGGCAGTGGGGTTAGGGCAGTAGGGTTAGCGCAGTAGGGTTAGCACAGTGGGGTTAGGGCAGTGGGGTTAGTGCAGTGGGGTTAGTGCAGTGGGGTTAGTGCAGTGGGGTTAGGGCAGTGGGGTTAGGGCAGTGGGGTTAGTGCAGTGGGGTTAGTGCAGTAGGGTTAGGGCAGTGGGGTTAGTGCAGTGGGGTTAGGGCAGTGGGGTTAGGGCAGTGGGGTTAGGGCTGTGGGGTTAGTGCAGTGGGGTTAGGGCAGTGGGGTTAGTGCAGTGGGGTTAGGGCAGTGGGGTTAGGGCAGTGGGGTTAGTGCAGTAGGGTTAGGGCAGTGGGGTTAGGGCTGTGGGGTTAGTGCAGTGGGGTTAGGGCAGTGGGGTTAGTGCAGTGGGGTTAGGGCAGTGGGGTTAGGGCAGTGGGGTTAGTGCAGTAGGGTTAGGGCAGTGGGGTTAGGGCAGTAGGGTTAGGGCAGTGGGGTTAGGGCAGTGGGGTTAGTGCAGTGGGGTTAGGGCAGTGGGGTTAGTGCTGTGGGGTTAGGGCAGTGGGGTTAGGGCAGTGGGGTTAGGGCGGTGGGGTTAGGGCGGTAGGGTTAGGGCAGTGGGGTTAGTGCAGTGGGGTTAGGGCAGTGGGGTTAGGGCGGTGGGGTTAGTGCTGTGGGGTTAGGGCAGTGGGGTTAGGGCAGTGGGGTTAGGGCAGTGGGGTTAGGGCAGTGGGGTTAGTGCTGTGGGGTTAGGGCAGTGGGGTTAGGGCAGTGGGGTTAGGGCAGTGGGGTTAGTGCAGTGGGGTTAGGGCAGTGGGGTTAGGGCAGTGGGGTTAGGGCAGTGGGGTTAGTGCTGTGGGGTTAGGGCAGTGGGGTTAGGGCAGTGGGGTTAGGGCAGTGGGGTTAGGGCAGTGGGGTTAGGGCAGTGGGGTTAGGGCAGTGGGGTTAGTGCTGTGGGGTTAGGGCAGTGGGGTTAGGGCAGTGGGGTTAGGGCAGTGGGGTTAGTGCTGTGGGGTTAGGGCAGTGGGGTTAGGGCAGTGGGGTTAGGGCAGTGGGGTTAGTGCAGTGTGGTTAGGGCAGTGGGGTTAGTGCTGTGGGGTTAGGGCAGTGGGGTTAGTGCAGTAGGGTTAGGGCAGTGGGATTAGGGCAGTGGGGTTAGTGCAGTGGGGTTAGGGCAGTGGGGTTAGGGCAGTGGGGTTAGTGCAGTAGGGTTAGGGCAGTGGGGTTAGGGCAGTGGGGTTAGTGCAGTGGGGTTAGTGCAGTAGGGTTAGGGCAGTGGGGTTAGGGCAGTGGGGTTAGGGCAGTGGGGTTAGTGCAGTGGGGTTAGCGCAGTGGCATTAGGGCAGTGGGGTTAGGGCAGTGGCATTAGGGCAGTAGGCTTATTGCCTTAGGGTTAGGGTTAGGTTTCAGGTTAGCACAAGCCCTTTTGTTCATTTTTGTTCCTTCATGATTCTTCATACTTTATTGAGCCTAAACATAAAAATGGCAACTTCCCCCTTGTCTTTGGGTCTTCATTCTGAAGACTCCCATGCATAGACATCAATAAATTTGCGGACCAAATACCTTTTGTCCAGTGAATTTGCCTTCTGTCAGCTCGTATTTTAGCAAATGTACAGGAGCAGTGCATGCCCAAGACGATTCCAGCCCAAACAGTTCAAATGAGAGGATGTGTTTGTGTCTGGGGTGGGTGTCCCCAGATCCTTTACAAGCTCAGTTTAAGAGTAGTCACCACTGGCCTCCCTGGGGACCTAGGGAGGGTTTAGTCGAGCTGAGAGCCCAGAGTCCAAAGCTGAGAACTCAGGTCAGCCAGAGTTTCCTGGAAGGACTGCACAGAAGGACCAGCTGTGGAAGCTGGGACCGGGGCAGGTGACAGGAGTCTCAGGGTGTCTTAGATTTTGGCCTCCTGGGAGAAGATGGGCATTCACATGGATGCTTACTCCATGGGGCAGGTGTGAGGGAGTGTCCCCAAGAAAGGGACAGTCCCTTAGAGGCCTCCTCAGTTCTCTGGGCAGGGCTTGGAGGGTGAAGTGGCAGGAGGAGAGGGGCTGAGTTACCTAACTGCCCAGACGTGGGCAGGGGAGGCTGAAGGTCCTCTGGCTCTGGGGGAGTGGCAGGAAGGCTGCGAACTTACCACTGTCTTCCTCCAGGTGAAGCCGGGCCTCAGGTGGCCAGGGAACTGGTTGAGCAGAGGAAATCAGAGAGATCTTTTTTTTTTTTTTTGTCATGAACGGGCTCAGTGTGGGTGGGGGAACTTCCTGGTTCTGAGGGAATGTGAGAAGATTGCCCTTTGGGCTGGGTGAGGAGAGGAGCCCTGGACCCCCTGGACTTCCTCCTCAAGAGGAAGCCGCTTTGGCTTTGGGGCTAAGAGGCTGGAGCATCCAAGCCCCAGAACATGCATGGCTTCGGAGAAGCATGGCGACGGTTCTGCTGGGTGAGAGGATCCAGGCTGACTGGAGGACAGCTGTATGTCAGCCTGGGAGTCACAGCCTTATGGGGACTTCCAGCCTGCTGTGGGCACCCGGTACCTGGTCTCAGCTTCATCTGGGAGGTGTCAGGTTAAGAGTCTGGGAGGCTGGGTTCAAAGGTCCCTCACCCTGGTATATTTGGGCCCCAGGGGTCAGCCCCCAGCCCAAAGGGGCTGGGTTTGTCAGCAAGCCCACTCGGCCCCTCACCTGCTAGGCCCTGGCTCTGCAGGTGCCACCCATCCAGGACCCCTGGCCTCTCCCCCGAGCCCACAGCAGGAGGTGATGCCCCAGCCAGTCTTAAAGGTGGGCACAGGTTGGCGGGTATGGGAAGGGCATCCTGGCTGAGAGAATAGCATGGATGACAGCATAGAGGTAAGCCGAGGTTTGGAGGGCTAGGGAAGCTGAGCCCCTGGAAGGGGCTGGGCCAAGGGTGTATAGTTGGGCGACGGGGCAGAAAGTGAGTCTAGAGAGAAAGGTGGCCCTGGGAGGACTGGGCAGGGACACAGCCAGATCCTCACCAAGAAGTGTTGCTCTGACGGCCGCACCCTGGAGGCCGGGAGCCCTGAGAGTGTCCCGAATGAAAGGAGGCCAGCGTCAGAGCTGACCGTCCTATACCACTGCCTGGACATCTGAAATGGCTTTGTGTCTATCTTAACCCAGCAAACATATACAAAACACCTACTGTGTGGGTGTCCTGTGCCAGCTGTTTGGGACATCAGCCAACAAAGCTGATGGCCTTTGGCAGCTGCCATTTTACCTCGAGCGTGCAGGTTTTAGGGAAGCAGTAAGGAAATGACGCACCTTATGGGCGCTGGAGTCCTTCCTGTGTGTGCGTGGACACTGCTGCAGGGTTCTCAGTCCCTTCTGTTCCCCAGGGAACCTCTGGGAGACATGCTGATGGGGGATGGAGGGAGGGGCAGTGCAGGAGGTCTCTGCTGTGGTCCAGATGGGAGGTGGTGTGGGCTTGGGTGGGGCCTGGGGGGCTTCGAGGGGCAGAGTTTGTACCTCCCTGGAAGGAGGGGCTGACTGACTTCCTGCTGGTTGGGGCCTGGGCTGGGAGGGTCAATTGAGGGGCCGCCAGGGCAAGGCTGCTGGGAAGGAGTGGTTGAGGGCAACACCCGGGGAGGGAACCCTGTAGGTCCGTCCAGGGGAGGGGCCTGTGAGCCAGCAGAGCGGGCAGAGGGTGCAGTTTGCAGCTGAGCTGAACGGGAGGGTGTGGTTCACATTGAGGTCCTATTTAGAGCTCTGACCCTGGATGAGGTGACCAGGAGTGCATGGGGCTAAAGAGGAGAGGGGCCAGAGGCCAAGGCCAGACCCCAGCATGAGGAGGAGCTGCCAGGCATCTGACCAGGGAAAGGGAGGGAAACAAAAAGAGTCGAGCCTGGAGGGAGAGGTGGGTCAGGGAGCGGAGGCCTGGGAGCGTCTGTGGGCCGAGCACCGGAGTCCCTGGTGGCTTTGGCAGGAGTGTCATAGGCTTGGGAGCTGACCTCGAGATTCAAGCAAGAGGAATGGGCAACCGCAGGGGATGGACACCCTTCTGAAGGGGGTCGAGAAACGAGACTGTGGCTGGAGGGGAAGTGGGACGAAGAGAGCAAACCTGTGTTCATGACGTTAAGATGTAAAAAAGCGATACTACAGAGGACAGAGGGGTCATCTGGAGGGAGCAGGAAGGAGTCTGGTCTTCGTCACCCTCCATGGGTGCAGGGAATGTGTGCTCCCTGAGGCCTTCTGCTCTTACCCCTATGATTCTCCGGGGACCTGTCTCACCAAAGCCAACAAGATCTTGCCTGGGGCAGAACTGGAGCTGAGGCGGGACTGGATGTGAGTCCTGCCTTGCACCTTCTCAGCCAGGTGAGGCGAGGTTGCGGGCCTCAGTCGGTGGGGGGGCCTGAACAGTGGGATCTATGTCTGACACCCTGTGGGGCTCCATCCCAGCACCCCAGGCTTTGTATGTTGTCCTGGGAGTCACAGGCCTATGAGGGGCTTCCAACCTGCTGTGGGCACCGGGCACCTGGCCTCAGCTTCATCTGGGAGGTGTCAGGTTAAGAGTCTGGGAGGCTGGATTCAAAGATCCCTCACCCCTCAACCTGATATCCTTGGGTCCCAGGGGTCAGCCCGAAGCTCAAAGGCTTGTCAGGTAGTCCTGGGGAGGCCTGGTGGTGCCCACTCGGCCTCTCACCTTCTAGGCCCAGGCTCTGCAGGTGCCATGTGAGGAGTTGGGCTGACAGGTGCTGAGGAACCTTCTAGAACTGGACTCGGTGAATGTGCTTCTGGGACTGGAGTTTGGGCAGAGACTTTCAGGAGGAGGGACAGGGCTGGGCATTGCGCTCTGATGTCTCCCACGAGAGGTTTGTGGAATTGAATCGTGGCCCTCGGCCCAGGGCAGCTTGTCCCTGGAGTAGGCTCTGCCTGCCAACAGGGGCTTCTCCATTAGCCACTAGTAATCCAGGGACCCCAGATGGGCTTAGGGCCAAGGGCCAGTCCCAGCACCAGTGTCCAAATGGAGGGAAGGTGGCCACCCACTACGGGCTTTGGGGAGAGGCCTGGGGTCCTGGATGGGCGAGCACCCTTCCGTCCCTGGGCTCTCATACCACAGGCCAAGGGAGCAGAGGGGACAGGTGGAGGGGCTGACACCCTGCTCTAGGAGGCTCACTCATTGCTTGGGGGAGCCCTGGTTTGCTAGGGCCTGACGAGTTTTGGGATGTGGGACTTCCCATGCTAAAATTGGGACAGGTCTGGACAAACTGAGTCACCCTCCCCTCATGGGACCCTGGAGGCCACAGGGACTCTCCCCAGTTTTTGGCCTAGAGGTCGGAAGGGACAATGGTGGAGGCTGGGGAGCAGCCAGGCGGCAGCACAGGCACCAGGAACTGCGGGGCTGCGGGCCCAACCTCCAGACCCCCTTGAGGGACACCTTGCCCGGCTTTGGACTCAGGAAGATGGAAGAACAGTGCTGCCAAGGACAGATGTCATCCAGGGGGCAGGGGAGGAGCCAGCAGCAAAGGACAGATGTCATCCAGGGAGGCAGGGGAGGAGCCAGCAGCAAAGGACGGATGTCCATCCAGGGGCCAGGGGAGGAGCCAGCAGCAAAGGACAGATATCATCCAGGGGACCAGAGGAGGAGCCAGCAGCAAAGGACGGATGTCCATCCAGGGGACCAGGGGAGGAGCCAGCAGCAAAGGACGGATGTCCATCCAGGGAGGCAGGGGAGGAGCCAGCAGCAAAGGACGGATATCATCCAGGGAGGCAGGGGAGGAGCCAGCAGCTGGAGGCCCCGGCCTGGCAAGGGCCCTGGTGGGTTGTGTGTGCACGCGTGTGCAGGTGTGCATGTGGGTGTGTGCACGCGTGTGCAGGTGTGCATGTGGGCGTGTGCAGGTGTGCATGTGGGTGTGTGCACGCGTGTGAAGGGCAGCCTGGAATCAGGAAGAGATGTGCCTTAGAAGTTCACAAGAAAGCAAGGTCCTGAGAGAGCTGCCTCGAACCTGCCAGAACTGGGAAACTGAGGCAGGGTGGGTGGCAGGGCCACCAGGGCCTCTGTCCCCCAGCAGGCCCCTACCTGAAGGCCTGGAGCTTAGCTGCTGCCCATCTCTTAGGTACACATGTCTCCCCCAACTGCAGCCTCCTTTGGTCCCAGTCCCTTGTCCCTCAGAAACTAAGGAGAGCCCCAGGCTCTCACCATCCAACCCACATCCAGGGTCTCTTTATTTTATTTTGTATAAGGCAAGCTTTTGCTGTCATCCAGGCTGCAGTGCAGTGGTCTGATCATAGCTCACTGCCACCTCGAACTCCTGGGTTCAAGGGATCCTCCTGCCTCAGCCTCCCTAGTAGCTGGGGCTGCAGATGAAGACCACCGCACCCAGCTAATTAAAAACATTTTTTTTTGTAGAGACAGGGTCTTGCCATGTTGCCTGGGCTAGTCTTGAACTCCTGGCCTCAAGCGATCCTCCCACTGGAATTACAGGCATGAGCCACAGCACCCAGCCTCTGGGTCTTTTAGAACCTTCAGAATTCAGTAGGGATTCCAGAAAGATGCAAGACGGATTTCCAAGGAGCAAGAGAAGTTACGAAACCCATACAATTACTTCTGACCTTTGGACTCCCCTCAGCTATCACCTGTCCGCCCCACCCCAAGACTTGCTGGCAGCTTCAGGGAGCCTGGCTATTTGGTTTCCATTGGAGGCAGCCATACTGGCATCTCAGTGAGATGTAGCAGCCTCCTTTCTCTGTTCTGGGCACCCTGGACCTGGCTGGGTGAGTTTCCAAAACTGTAGTTGTTCCCACCCCTAGACCTCTGGTGACATCGCTCTGTTTGGGGGGTGGCCAGCTCTGGGGCCCTGGGACCTCAACCCCTGCTGGATCTTACCACATTTTGCAAACCAAAGAAGCATGAGAGAGACAGAGAGAGAGAGAGAGAGAGAGAGAGAGAGAGAAAGACAGAGGGAGAGAGAGACAGAGACAGAGACAGAGACAGAGAGAGAGAGAGAGAGACAGAGAGGGGGGGGAGAGAGAGAGAGAGACAGAGAGAGAGAGCGGGGGAGAGAGAGAGAGAGACAGAGAGACAGAGACAGAGAGAGAGAGAGAGAGAGAGAGAGAGCGAGCGCTCCACCTCCAAGCACTGCCTGCCCTGCACTCATCTTTGGATGGGTCTGTGCCTTTGTCCCATGCCTGGAATGGTTCCCTTGCCTGTACATCCCTTCCCTTCCACCCTTGGATCTTGGCACAAGTCATTGCCCTGAAAACCCTGTCACCTCCCTCATCATGCAGCCTGGGCACTGCCCTGCTTTGTATACTTATTTCTGTTGCTGCCTGCCCACCCTGAAGCCCCTGAAGGCATAGTTGTCCCTGAGGTCCCAGGGAGATGTTGCTGAATGGACAGGCAGACAGGTGAGGCCACAAATCAGACACCCCTAGTCCAGGTCTCAATTTGACATTTGAGAAGGAGGTGCTGCTCAGGCCACTAGGCCCAGGCCCAGGTGCCCAGACACCCTTAGCAACATCTGCCAGGCTGCCACGGCTGATCAAATACAGGGCCCAGCGAGGTGACTCATGCTTGTAAGCCCAGCATTTTGGGAGGCTGAGGCAGGCAGATCACTTGAGGCCAGGAGTTCAAGACCAGCCTAGCCAACATGGCAAAACTTCATCTCTACTAAAAATACAAAAATTTAGCTGGTATGGTGGTAGGTGCCTGTAATCCCAGCTACTTGGGAGGCTGAGGCATGAGAATTGTGAATCTGGGAGGCAGAGGTTGCAGTGAGCCAAGATTGCACCACTGCACTCCAACCTGGGTGACAAAGTGAGACTCTCTCAATAAAACCCCACATGCCCCAAACGGAAAAAACTGAAAAGCAAATACAAACAAGACCCCACATGAGCTCAATTCACTAATTGCTACAAATTAAAACCTGGAGTAACCCAGAAAAGGGGGCAATTGTAAATAGGGCTCAGCAAGGGGGCCCCAATCTTAAAATCCTGGCAGCATATGTGCCAGGGGCCAGTGCTGTGACAGAGCCCAGCACTTACACATGCACTCTGCGGTCAGCCCCACCAGGCTGGCATCTTCACTATTTACCAGGCCTTGCATGGGCCTTTAACTCTCAAGCCTCAGTTTCCCCATCTGTGAAATGGGGACAGTGTTAATCCCTGCCTCACAGGATGCTTGTGAGGATCAGAGAAGATCATTTGCACATAAAGTGCATGGCATGAGGCTGCCTGGCAGAGAGGTACCAGCTGCAGTGGCAGGTGGTACTGACCAGCAGCTGGGGATGGGGCCACTGCTGGGTGCTGGGCATGTGTGTCTCAGTGCTCACTGAGGGCTGGCATGAAGACTGGCACATCAGAGTCACAGTGACCTGTATCCCATGGACTGTCCTGAACTCTGTTAAAGGTGGGGTTCACTGCCCAAGCTGCTTGTCATATAGATGACATTTCATCCTAGCTTGCACACAGTGGCTCATGCCTGTAATCCCAGCACTTTGGGAGGCCAAGGTGGGGGGACCATGAGGTCCAGAGTTCAAGACCAGCCTGGCCAACACGGTAAAAATCCCGTCTCTACTAAAAATACAAAAATTAGCTGGACGTGGTGGCAGATGACTGTAATCCCAACTACTTGGGAGACTGAGGCAGGAGAATCATTTGAACCTGGGAGGTGGAGGTTGCAGTGAGCTGAGATTCTACCACTGCACTCCAGCCTGGGCAACAGGGTGAGACTCCATCTCAAAACACACACACACACACACACACACACACACACACCCCATTTCATCCTGCTTGTCTGAGAACTATGTGACGGGGGCATAGGTGCCTTTGTTCCCCACCAGCCCATGTCCCTGGGTATAGAGTGAATGTCCAGTTTTTGTTGCAACATTGCTGGAGGGGCGCCAGTGGCAGGTCTGTGACCTGCCCCTGCCCCTCTAGGTTGGAAGGAGAGGCTGATGATGGTGAGGGTAGTGGTGTCCTCAAGAAGAGGGCTGCTGTGCCTCATCAGAAGCCTTACAGATGAGCAAGAAGAAGTACAGAGAGGTTAAGCAACTTGCCCAAGGACACACAGCCTGTAAGAGGCAGATGCTCTGCCCGACTCCACAGCCTCTGTGTTTGCTGCTGGCCAGGCAGTGCCTGTCACTTTGCTGGGCCAGGTGCTGAGGAGCAAATCTGGCTGCCTCCAGGGTGAAGCCAGCTCCTGAGCTGCATCCCAAGCCCTGCGGCCCACTCCAGCTGCCCCGTCCCCTGGCCCGTTCCCTGCTCACTCTCTGAGCTGGGCCTTTGGGCCGCGCCCTCCCTGACCACTTCTCCAGCTGCCTGATTGCCGGTCCCCAGCTCCCAGCCAGGAGCAGGACTATGATTCCTTGTTCTGAAGCAGCCAGGGCACAGTTGTGCATAGGACTGAAGGGTGTGTGTGTCCACAAGCATCCAGGCAGTGACCACACGGTGGGCAGGTGCAGGCCCCACAGAGAGGCTGCTGCCTCGGGGCTGGCTGCACCTAGGGGCTCCAGGCAGCAGCTCCAATGGCGGGAACGAAGGCAGAGGGCGCTGGGCTGCCGGCCGGGCCTGGGCCTGCGGGGGGACAGGGCAGGAAGAGGAAGAGGAGGAGCTGGGGATAAGGAGGGAAGGAAGGAGGAAGGAGGGGAGGAGGGGCAGTGAGCGGAGAGGAAACGGGGGAGGGGCGGCAGGGCGGGTGCCCACCTCGCTGCAGAGCTGGATCCTTGTCTCCCCTCCCCCACCCCCTGAGATGGGCAAGGCCCACGTGCTGTTTCCCACGGAGGTGCGAGTGACACTGCCCCAGCCCCAGATCTGAGGAGTGTTGGGGTTTTGTGATTAAATGTGCTCCTGCCCGCTGCAGCCCAGATGGCCACACTCGGCAGAACCCCCACCTTAGACTTGAGGGGCTAAAGTCAGAGAGGAAGGGCCTGGCCCCATCACCTCCAGGTGTGAGACTTGAATGAGACGGGTGGGGGTCCCCGTGGCTGTGCCGTTTCGGGACACCAGGGGGCAGCAGGCACCCAGCTTCAGCCCTCAGGCGGCCAGGCTCCCTCGGGCAAGGGGCTGCTTGGCCTCTGGCTGCCCCTGCGGCTGGCGAAGGGGGCACGGGCATCCTCTCTGCAGAACATCTACTCTGAGCAGCCCTCCCCTGTGGGGCGCAGCCACCTGGGACGCGGCCAGGGCACGCCTGCCGTCACCTCCTGGCCTTTGCGCTGGGTCTGGCCGACTGCCCTGGCTCCAAAACTCGGTCAGGAGGAGGTGGAAAATGGGAGGGAGGAAGGAAGGAAGGAAAGAGGGAAAGAGTGATGGAGGCTCCCCTCCTTCCCTCACACTGGAGGTCAGTGGGGCGGGACCCCAGCCCACGGCAGGAGATGGCTTCATTGTCTCTGACTCGCTGGGGGACCCTGGGCTGGTCACTCCACCTCTCTGGCCTCAGTTTCCGACATAGGAAGGTAACAGGATTCAAAGAGGTCATGCCATGTAGCACGCACTTAACTGAGGTCTAAAGTCTCTCTCAAGGCCTGGGAAACCCCTTCACCCCCGAGGGCCCAGAAGGGGTGGGGCTTCCTTGGTAAGTTCAGGCCCCTGCTCCTGCAGTGGAGGAGGGAGTAGTGGCGTGCATCTGGAGGCCCTCATGCCCCCTCTCTGGAGGCATTCCTGCTCCCTGGGCCCTGAGCTTCTGGGAACACCATGGCTTGAGTGTGGAAAGCAGGATGGGAGGGAGTGGCCTGGAGAGGCCTGGGGGACCTAGTGCCCCCCTCCGTGGGCAGGAGATGCTGGTCACAGGGGTCCCCCGGCTCCAGCAGGAAGTCAGGGGCTTGGTGGGAAGGGAGACCTGCTCACACAGACGTGCTTTTCCTGCTGTTTCCCTGATAAAGTGAGCCTGGGCCTGGGACCTCTGAGTGTGTGTCCTGTGGCTTGGCAGGAAGAGGAAGAAAGGCCTGGTGGGCTGAGAGCTGGCTGCAGGGCTGTCTGCCATAGGTCCCTGCATGTCCTTGAGACCCTCCCCTGTACCTGCCTTCTAGCTCGGATTCCCCTTCCTAGCCCAGAAAGGGGCCGTGTGGAGCCCAGGATTACCAGTGACCCTGGGTTTCCTGGGACATTCAGTGCTGAAACCAGCAGTCTCAGGCAGGCTGGGATCCAGGGTCCCTCTCTTCCAGACCCTGAGGGTAGCAGCCCTGGGCCGTTCTGGAGCAGGGGTGACTGTTCCCTATTCCCACTGGGCCTCCCCTCAGGGCCTGCCCAGCTCCACCCATTGGTTCCTGGGGAGTGAGGACCCCCAGCCTGAACCCTCAGCACAAGGCAGTCCCTGTAATGAGAGCTTGTGCGGCATGTGGCCGCGTCACCAGAGGGGGGCCGGCACCTGCAGAGGACGTGCCTGGCAGCCGCCCCAAGAACAGCCCGTCCTGGGGGGTGGGGCGAGCCTTGTGCACAGGAACTGGTGCGGGAGCAGCTCTCCTGGCCCAGCATGGCCCCCGCCAAGTGTATAACGAGCTGCCTGTTGCTGGAGGGGGGGTCCTTGGGTTAATCTGTCACTCCCCATGCCCCTGGGGCCTCTGCGCCGGATGACTCCCCACCCCATCTTACGGACGGGAAGGTGGAGGCTCAGGGGGCAGGAGTCTCTCAGGCCAGTCCAGGGCTGTCTGAGAACCTGCTGCTGGGTGATGGCGATTGAGGTCTAAGGGGTGGTCCTTCCAGGGTCAGCCATCCCTGGCCAGGGTTGTGCCCTGCATAGATGCCCAGGCCTGGCTCAAGGGCTTGGGTGGGGGATGTCCAGGGGAGATTCCCAGGGCAGTTGACTTCTGTGTGCTCCGCTTTCCTGTCCCCTGCTAGAGGTCCTATGGAGGGGCTTGGGCTGGGTGAAAGGCAGAGGCAGCCCCAAGTCTCAGTGGTCTCAGGCAGGTGGCTTCAACTCCGGGAGCCTGAGTCCCCTCCCTTGCAAAATGGGCGTGAACACACCTCCTCTCAGGGGTCTTGGAAGGATTAAATGAGGCAGTGAGCCCAGCCTTGGGTTAGGGCAGGGCCCTGAGCAGGCACAGGATGAAGCCAGACAGTATTACCGTCGCTAATCATTTCCCTCCGGTACCCTCCAAAGCGCACCACCTGGAGAGCAGCTGGGAGGCAGCCAGGAAGGACACAGGCACCTCCGGCAGGGTCCTTGGGGTGCTGCGGAAGGGCAGTGCTGCTGAGGGTGGGCTCTGGGCACCCGGATCTCTAACGGGCCCTGGAGCGGCACAGATGGATGCAGGTGGTGTCCGGTCCTCCCCTCCCCTCCCACCTTGAGCCTGTGCCTGCATTCTTCAGTGCTTTGTGACCGATGGATGATGTGGGCCCATGCTGAATGGAACATTCTTTGAGGACTTCGTTTGTTTGAAAGGCAGATAGCTCAGGGCTTCAGAACCCAGGGAACAGACCTGAGGCATTTTTCACCAAGAGTCAGAGAGGAGAAAAAAGCTCCCGGCCTGTCCTTGGTTACTCCCTGATAGGGGCGGTTGACCCTCTGGCCGGATGTCCTGTGTCCCAGAATCTGGGTTCCCTGGGGCTCTGGGGTAGGGAGTGGGCCTGGCCTGACAGGCGCCCGTATCTCTGTGAAGCCACCTGTGGCACACATTCCTGATGGGGCTGTGAACATACCATCAAGGCAGCTGTACAGCTGCCATGACCATGCTTGGGAGAGGGAGGCCTCGGGCAGCCGCGGAGGCACTGGAGTGGAGGTCATCCACCAGAAAGCACATGTGGCCGAGAAGGGGGCTTCCTGGGTCTACCCCGGCCCTGCTGCCCACGGGCCAGTGCGTTCGCCTGTGTCACCTCAGTTGTGAAGTGGGCCTACAACACTGGCCGACCGCCCATGCGGTTGTGGCAAGGACTGGCCCATGGGTGGTCCCTGGGAAGTAGCTGGTTTAGCGACTCCTGTGCAAAGCTCCACCAGGGCTGGGGCCCAGGCTGCCCTGGCTTCTGGAGCTTTCCAGCAGGAAGGCACAGTGTTCTGGCTGCAGGTGAATCCTTAACTGTTTGTGCGGTGTTTCTTGTTTGTTTCTTTGTGTTGTTTTGAGAGGGTATCTTGCTCTGTTGTCCAGGTTGGAGAGTAGTGGCACGATCACGGCTCGCTGCAGCCTCAACCTCCTGGGCTCAGACGATCCTCCCACCTCAGCCTCCCGAGTAGCTGGGACCACAGGCACACACCACCGCACCTAGCTAAATTTTAAATCTTTTGTAGAGATGGGGTTTCTCTCTGTTTCCCAGGCTTGTCTGGAACTCCTGGGATCAAGCAAGCCGTCCACCTTGGTGTCCCCAAAGTGCTGAGGGTGTAGGTGTGAGCCCGGCTGCAGCTTTTAATCTTCTCAAGCCTTGGTTTCCTTATCTTTCAAAGGCCAACTGAAATCTTCCCATGCCTTCCCTACGTGTCAGGGTATGTGACGCCCCACTGTGATAGAGAACCCCACATTTCTAGTGGGTTGAGATGCAGTAAAAGTTTATTCCTTCTGCCCCACACAGGCAATGCCGAGGGCAGAGGGTGGTTCTCCTGGGGTCCGGAGCCTCCATCTGGCCAGCAGAGGGCGCAGAAGGACTGCGTGGGCGGCTGGGACGTGACAGCCTGGAAGTGGTGAACAGCCAGCGTTCCTGAAAACCTTCCCGGCCAAAGCGGGTCCGAGGCCCACTTGTGTGCGAGAGAGCTGGGAAATGTCTTTCCGTGTGCTCTGAGGAGAGTGCAAAGGCTAGTGGATGTCCTGCCTTTCCTCTGCTGCTCTCTCGGCTGGGGGCAAGAATGACAGGACGTGAACATACACACGAGGGCCCGGAACTCACGAGCCCCCCACAGAGGCCCCCCCATTTGCAGGAGCTGGGGCACTAGCACAGCACAGCCCACGCCTTTTGACCAGCACCCCTCCCCAGTTCTGCTCTCTGCAGCAACACAGAGTACAAATATTGTTCCTTTGGTTTCTTTTTTCCCTTTGGAGACATTTTAAATGACAAAAATAGAGCTTGATTGTTGCACCCAGACAGATGTTTGCTTCCGGGCCCTTTGGGTTGGAGGACTGGGCCCCCTCGCAGAGCCTGGAACTCCCAGCCCCCAGCTCCTGGGGTGCCTTCCTCCAGGTGTGTCCCTGGCTTGGGCTGGCGGGCGCAGTCCCCACTCCTGGGATGTGCAGTTTTAATAAGCTACTGGGTACCACCCTTGATTGAATTCAGAGTGACAGACTTAGAGCAGGTCACCTCTCGACTTCTAATGAGGCCAAGACGGGAGGAGTCCCCACAGCCCCGAGTTTGACTCTGTAATTAAGCTGGTAAAGTGGAAAAATAAAAGTAGGGAACCTAAGTGGAGAGCAAACCAGAAAGCCAGGCAGCCGGAGCTTCCGAGCCCGCTTTCTCCCAGCTGTGCGGCCTCGGGGCCCACGACGTCTCTGCTACTTTTGCTGCTTTTCTATAACACAGGGTGAGGCAGCTACACCCTCCGAGGGGTGTCACTAGGGCCAATGGGTCCGGATGTTTGGAGTGTGGGTGTCTGAGGGCCACTAGGTCACTACCCACTCTGGCCCTTTGCTCCTAGTCTCTGGGGAGGCGGTGGCACAGGGGCAGGGGTGACTAGACCCTGCCTCTTTCTGCTCCCAGACCAGTTGATATGAGTCCTGCTTGAGGGGTTCGCAGGGCCTCTGGAGCCTTCTTCAGCTTCTCTTTGTTTTCCTAAGATAAAAATTGTCACATCTGTGCTTGTTGTGGGAAACTTGAAAAATAGTGCACAGAGAAGAATATGAAATCGACATAAATCCCTGCATGTGGTTCATCAAGGGCCCTGGCCCCTCTCCTGGGTCAATGCCCTGTCCGGGACAGCTCTCCCCTCACTTTAGATCTCACTTCCCCAGACCCAGAAGACCCACCCTGCTCCCCCAGTGGCATCTGCACGCTGTCACGGCATTTCACAGGGGCTGGGGTGTCTTGGGACTCAGAGGCAGGCTGCTGGGGGTTCAGGGGACCTTGCCGTCCCTCCCTCCCAGATGTCTCTGGCTGCTCACAGGTTCACTGGAGACAGGGGCTCAGAGCTCCCAGACTGCTGGACCCTCCAACAGGTGTCTGACAGTCCCCCTCCCGACCTGGGTGGCTCCCAGTTTAAGGAGGGGGCTCCCTGCCTCATGGTAAGTGAGGCAAAGCGGAGACAGCGGGAAAGAATGGTCTCTCTGGGTCTGGTCTGGCTGGGGTGAAGCAGTGTGTGTGTGTGTGTGTGTGTGTGTTTGTGTGTGTGTGTGCGCGCGCGCTTGCACGACCAAGGTCTGTACCAGGAAGGGCTGCAGGTGGGGGAGGGGCATGGTCCTTCTCAGCCCCTTCCCCTATGACCTCAGGCAGATCTTTCACTTTTACCCAGTACAGCAGCCTCCAAGCAGCCTGAACAGGCCGATCCCGGGGCTGGGGTGGCCTGGCCCAAGGCTGAGGGGGGCCGGGACCCCCGACAGTGACATGATGGGCGCAGCCCAGTTTGGGCTAAGCCTGTGTTCCATCTACTGGGCAGGGTAGGCCTCCGCAGATGGCGGCTTCTCTCTCCAGCCCCAGGGGGCTGCTGGGCGCCTGTCCAAGTGTCCTACACATGGTCCCTCCGGGAAAGAGCGGAGCTGACCCCGTCCCCCCTTCCCGACTCGAGGGCCTTCGGGCCGGCAGGTGTGTGAGGGCTCCAGGTGCGCGGACCCTTCGAAGGGACACAACCCAGCAGCCGCAGCAGGCCGCGCGGGGGCAGCCGAAGACCCCGTCCGGCGCAGGCCGGGGCCGAGCTGGCAGCGGCGGGTCCAAGTCCCGTCAGCCGGCGCAGGAGGCCCAGGGGCGAGCACGGGACGGGGCTGGGCGCCGGGGTCCGGACCGGGCCGGGGTCGCGCCGGGCCTGGCCGGACACCGGACCCGCCGGGAGCCGGCCCCTGCCGCGCTGGACCGAGGCCCCCGCCTGCAGACAAAGGAGCCGGCGGGGGGCGGGAGCCGGGGGGGGGGGGCAGCGGGGGGGATGGGGCGAGGGGGCGGGGCGTCGCGGTGTCACGTTACCGCCCGCAGCGCCCTTTAACTCCCGCCCCCGCCCCGCTCACCGCCCCCTTCCCCTGCTACAGCGCGCTCACCCCGCGGCCGCCAATCAGCCGCGCGCCCCGGCCGCGCGCCCCGCCTCGCCCTCGGTGGGTGTGCTCGCGGCCAATGGGCGGCGCGCGGGGGCGGGGCCGCGAAGGGGCGGGGCGGCGGGGCGGGGGCCAATCGCCGCGGTGTTGTTGAAACTGAAAATACTACATTATGCTAATCGCGGCCGGGCCCGCGCGCACGGGGGTGGGGCCCGCGCGTATAAAGCGGGCGCAGGCGGGCTGGGCGTTCCACAGGCCAAGTGCGCTGTGCTCGAGGGGTGCCAGCCAGGCCCGAGCAGCGAGCGAGCCAGCAGGCATCGAGGGGGCGCGGTTGCCGGCCCGACCAGACCAGCGAATTCCACGCAGGAGAGTGTTCGACCCGACCGCCAGGTAGCCGCCGCGCCCGCCCTTCCGCCGCGTCCCCCGCACACGCGGCGTCGGGCTGCGCGGGGTCTCCCTCGCGCCCGGCCTCCGCCCTCTCCTCCTGTCCTCTTCCCCCTCTTCTCGCTGTCCTCTCCTCTCCCGCTGCCCGCGATCGCGCAGTCCCGGGCCATGTCCGACGCGTCCCTCCGCAGCACATCCGTGATGGAGCGTCTTGTCGCCCGTGGGACCTTCCCAGTACTTGTGCGCACCAGCGCCTGCCGCAGCCTCTTCGGCCCGGTGGACCACGAGGAGCTGAGCCGCGAGCTGCAGGCCCGCCTGGCCGAGCTGAACGCCGAGGACCAGAATCGCTGGGACTACGACTTCCAGCAGGACATGCCGCTGCGGGGCCCCGGACGCCTGCAGTGGACCGAAGTGGACAGCGAGTCGGTGCCCGCGTTCTACCGCGAGACGGTGCAGGTGGGGCGCTGCCGCCTGCTGCTGGCGCCGCGGCCCGTCGCGGTCGCGGTGGCTGTCAGCCCGCCCCTCGAGCCGGACGCTGAGTCCCTCGACGGCCTCGAGGAGGCGCCGGAGCAGCTGCCTAATGTCCCGGTCCCGGCCCCGGCGTCCACCCCGCCCCCAGCCCCAGTCCTGGCTCCGGCCCCGGTCGCGGTTCCGGACGTGGCTCCGGTCGTGGCTCCGGGTCTGATCCCGGCTCAGATCCCGGCTCCGGTCCCGGCTCCAGTCGTGGCTCCGGGTCTGATCGCAGGTCCGGTCGCGGCCCCGGTCGTGGCCCCGGTCTTGGCCCCGGTCGTGGCCCCGGCTCCGGTTCTGGCTCCGGTTCTGGCTCCGGCCCCGGCTCCGGTCGCGGCCCCAGCCCCGGCCCCGGCCCCGGTCCCAGCTCCGGTCCCGGTTCCGGGCCCGGCCTTGGCTCCGGCCCCCGCCCCGGGCCCGGCCCCGGACGCGGCTCCTCAAGAGAGTGCCGAGCAGGGCGCGAACCAGGGGCAGCGCGGCCAGGAGCCTCTCGCTGACCAGCTGCACTCGGGGATTTCGGGACGTCCAGCGGCCGGCACCGCTGCTGCCAGCGCCAACGGCGCGGCGATCAAGAAGCTGTCCGGGCCTCTGATCTCCGGTGAGCCCCGCACGGCCCCGCCCCGGCCCGGCCCGGCCCCGCTTTGTCCCGCCGGCCGGTCTCCCCAGCCCTCGGGGGGCCTCGCTGGGTTCCCGCCTCCTCCCGTGGCATTAAAGGGCCCGCAGCGCTCAGGGCGCGGCTGCGCCCTCACCCCCCTCCCTGCCCCGTGGTCGTGCCCTCGAGCGGCTTGCGCGGGCGGGGTGGGAGGAGGAGCCCCGGCGGCGACCCCCCGGGAGCGCAGCCTTCACCCCCGGCCACAGGAGACCCTCCCCGGGCGCCGCCGGGCGTCGTGATCGCGGCGCGGAGGGGGTTAAGCGCAGCGGCGGCCCCGGGGGGCTTGGCCGCGGGACAAGGGGAAATGCTTACACAGCACATTGCGCGGCGACGTAAACAAAGCTGACCCGCCGCAGACCTCGGCGCGGGCAGGGACGGCGCCCCCACCCCGGCCAGCCCGCGCCCCAAGCCCTCTCCCGGCCCCCTCTTGGGTCTCTCGGCCGGCCCCGCCCTGACCGGCCGTGCGCGCTGTCGCCCGCAGATTTCTTCGCCAAGCGCAAGAGATCTGCGCCTGAGAAGGCGTCGGGAGAGGTCCCCCCGCCGTGTCCCGCTCCCAGCGGCGCCCCCGGCGTGGGCTCGGTGGAGCAGACCCCGCGCAAGAGGCTGCGGTGAGCCAAGTGAGTACGGCGCACCTGGGGGGCGCGGGGGGCCTTCCTGCGGGGTGCTCTCGGACTTTGCTGACCTCCCCTCTCTCCCCCGCTCCGCAGTTTAGAGCCCAAAGAGCCCCGAGGGAACCTGCCGGGGCAGCGGACGTTGGAAGGGCGCTGGGGCCTCGGCTGGGACCGTTCATGTAGCAGCAACCGGCGGCGGCTGCCGCAGAGCAGCGTTCGGTGTTTAAATTCTGAAAACTGTGCAATGTATTGATTACGTCTTTTTATATCTAAATGTATTCTGCACGAGAAGGTACACTGGTCCCAAGGTGTAAAGCTTTAAGAGTCATTTATATAAAATGTTTAATCTCTGCTGAAACTCAGTGCAAAAAAAAAGAAAAAAGTAAAAAAAAAGTAAAAAATAAAAAAAAACCATGTATATTTGTACAAAAAGTTTTTAAAGTTATACTAACTTATATTTTCTATTTATGTCCAGGCGTGGACCGCTCTGCCACGCACTAGCTCGGTTATTGGTTATGCCAAAGGCACCTCCACCTCCCACATCGTCCCGTTATTGACAAGTGTATAACTTTATTCTCATAGCGGACTCTGGGGAAAGGGGTCACTCACAAGCTGTAGCTGCCATCACGCCCACCTAGCTTGCATTCTCTTCGCGCTTTCGCTCTCTCTCTTACTATTACTGTGTTTATCTTAAACTTGAAGACAAATCTGTTAAAATGGTTCCTGAGCCGACTGTACCACTGCCCCGGCCCCTCGTCCGCCGGGTTCTAAATAAAGAGGCCGAAAGATGCTGCAACTCCAGTCTGTTTGTGCTTGTGCCTGCCTCCTGCACCCCCAAAGCTGGAGAGCTAGAACGCAGGAGAGAGCAGGCCAAAGTGGCCATCCCCAGTCCAAAAGGGGAAGCCTCTCTCCCGGCTGGGCCTGGCCCACTCCCGCCTGCTCCAGTCACCTTATCTCAGGAGGGGCAGCTGGCCGGCACTGCACCCCACATTTATCACCTTCCACCTTCGGGGCTGCAGAAAGACAAGTGTGGGCTTCACGTAGCCCCAGCAGGCAGGCAGCACAGCCCCTGACTTGCTGCCCAGACCCAGGCTTGTTTCAAGGAAACCATGGGCAACCCCTCTGCCCCCGATGATGGGCTCAGGCCCCTGCTAGTTCGAGGATGCACAGGGGTGTGGAGTGGGGAGCAGGGCTCCGCCAATGCACGTCGTCCCTCCAGACTTCTTCAGGCCTCGCACCAGGGTCTCCCTAGGTCTTGCCACAAGACAGCCAGAGTGTTCAAGGTCTATTCACACCTGCAGTGGAGGAGGGATGGCCTCGAAGCCTCTGAGGGGAGGGAGAAGTGGGAGGACAAGGGGGGCACCCTGGAACCAGGAGGGCTTGGGGATAGGTGGCTTCTGATGCCCAGGCTTTGGTGGAAGAAGTGGAGGCTGTGTGCACCCCCTGCACCCACACTGTCTGCCCCAGCAGCCCACTAGTTTCAAAGCCCTCTCTTAGTAAGAGACTTTTTTATTTTAATAGCTGACCTATAAACCTCTGAAAATTATGGCTTACAATGGAAAGGGTGACGTAAAACAGCAAAAACAGAACGGCTAGCAGTATTTTTGCTGGTGCCTTGGCCCAGGGGAAGAGAACTGGTGGACTCTTACGGAGCCCTACGTGACAGTTGCTGACTCCCCCCAACCCCCTCCCCTCTGTGTCAGGGACAAAGAGGGGCCGGACTCGAGATGCTGGAGACGTATTTAGACATAGAATTAACTGAGCCTCCCCGAGCTGCCTGGAAGGGCTGGGCGAGGAGGGCAATGGGGCTGGCCTTGAGGCCCAGCTGGGGCCAGACTCTGGGAAATGCCCCCGGGCCCCGAGAGTGGCAGGCCCTGCTGTTTCCGCTCGGCAACAGGGACTTTCAGCTGATAACGGGACCAGGCCACGCAGACCTGACTTCAGCCTTCAGACCTCTCCTCTCAGGAAGAAACCACCGCTTTCACCTGTATGAGCAGGACAAAGCCCTTTCCCTTCTGAGATAAAGGAGGGTAGCAGTGTCTTCTGCCCTGGGCTGGGAGGGGGCTGGACTGGGTGCCTGGCAGGCAGTTTGGTGGGCGTACAAGGTGACCTGAGTTAATTGTTTTTGGTGATCAAGCTGCTGGGGTGAGCCCTCAGCATCCACAGCCACGTCTAATGCCGGGTCTCCTGCCGTAGGCTGGGCCGAGGGGCGTCTACCTTGCTTGGCTTCTCACAGTCCTGGACCCTGGGCACGGGACATGTAACTACTACCCTAGTGTCACTCAAGGGTAGCTTTCTCAAAATCAGTGTGAGGGCTTTGTGAGGACATGAAGGTGAGGCCCAGTGACATTTCTCAGGAGGAGTTTCTCCCCAGGGCAGGAGCTGGCTGCAGGGACCCACAAGCCACCCTCCATGGGCTGCTAGTCACATGTGTGACTCTGGACACTGTGACCCAGGCAAGCCGGCCTTTCCTTCTGGGGGCCTCAGTTTCCCCATCTGGGTTGAGAGAGGCGTAGAGTTCTTTCCCGTGCTGTGTCCTGTGATTCTCATGTGGGGACAGCCATGGAAATAATACCCAATGGCACTGTTTGCAAAGCCCTCTTCTCAACCTGTGCTGTTGGAAGAGCAGCTATGAGCGTGCATCCCGGCCCCCAGGCCTCATCCAAGTTGAAAACACAGGCACTGGGTCTGTGTTTTCCACTGGCGGCCAGAACACTCATTGGTCTGCCACGTGGGAGCCACACCCCAGCTCCACTGGGGATCCATGATCATCATACGATCAATGACACCAGAACCTCCAGGCATGCAGCAATGCCTTTTCCCTGTGCCAGGCATGTACTAAGCAGGATCGGCTGCGGCCAGGTCCCACCATGCTCCTTGTTTGAAGAGGAAACAGAGGCATGTCATCCCTCTGCCAGAGGGATGTCCTGCCTCTGGGGCCAGGCCTGGAAACCACTGCATGATCCTGCCCGTGGACAGGGCTGGGAAGACAGGCAGGTGCTCCGTTAACCTACACACAGCCTGGATGAAGGTTCGTGAGGGAGAAGGGTGGATGTGTTGGAGCTAGAGGATCAGGGTGAGACAGGAGAGAAGAGGCAGGGGAGGCTGTTGGTACCAGGGGTCTTGGCAGGCCTGGCCTTCATGCTTGTCCATATGGTTCAGTGTAAGGGTATCTTTTGGGTGTGTCTGCTGGGCCTCTCCCTTCCCTGCCCTGTCCTACTGGCCTCCTGTACCTCCCCGGGCCTGATGAGCTGGTGCCAAAGGTTGGATTTCGTCAGCCAGCAGTGGGGAGCCCCTGAGGGACTGAAGCAGGGAGAGGTAGAAGCATCTTAGCTGCTGGGTCAGGAAGGAGGAGAGCCAGCAAGAGGAAAGGGAGTGAGGAGACCAGGAGGACAGTGCGGCCATCCAGGCTGAGGGCAGAGTCACGGTGTTGGCGAATCATCTGAGAGGCTCCAGCATGCCAACGCCTGTTCCAGGCACCAGAGACTCAGCCATGAATAGCAAGAAGTCCCTGCCCCAGGGGCTTTGTGCACTGGGAGGTGACATCTGAAAGCCCTGCCAGTGGGCTGCAGCACGTACAAAGGTGGTAAGTGTTAAGGAGGACCGAGCTGAGCACCAGTTTAGCCTTTTAAACAGGATGCTAGGAAGCCCCTCCTCCAGTTCCCAGCAGGTGGCACAGCAGGTGATGGTGGCTGAAGGACGCTGTTTTATTGTTTGTTATTTTTTGATTCAATATGATTAGTTGAAGTCCATCGTTTGCTTGAGGGTCCTTTCTCAGTGCTGTGCATTCAATGGGTTTGGACAAATGCTTAGTGTCCTGTATCCACCGTTACAGTATTGTACAGGGGAGTTTCACTGCCCTAAGAATCCTCTGTGCTCCACCTACCCATCCCTCCCTCCTCCCTAACTCCAGCAACCACTGATGTTCTTCCTGTCTCCACAGTCCTGCCTTTCCTGTAATGTTACTGGGTTGGACTCATACAGCACGCAGCCCTTTCAGATGAGCTTCTTTGACTTAAAAACACGCATTCACGGTTCTTCCATGACTTTAGCTCATTTGTCTTAGCTCTGAAAAGCATTCCGCTGACCGGATGCACCAGGGTTTGTTTATCCGCTCCCCTCCTGAAGGACATCTTGGTGGCTTCCCGGTTTGGGCAATTATGACCAAAGCTTCTGCAAACATCGACGTGCAAGCTTTCATGTGGATGCACGTTCTCAACTCATCCAAGCAAGTGCCAAGGAGCGCAACTGCTGGATGGTATGTGAAGGGTCCATTTGTTGTCGTAAGAAACCACCAAGTCATCTTCCAAAGCGGCTGCTCCTTTTTGCGTTCTGCCCACGGCGCCTGTTGAAGGGCAATGTTGTGAGTTCCTGTTTCTCATCTGTGGATCGCACCAACCACCAATTTTAGGTGAATCAAAAAACAGAAACCCCACTACAATGTGGACACAACAAGGACAAGGCATAATTACAAATGGACTCTGGTGACAGTGGCTTGATCTCAGGGTCCTGGCTGGTTTGCTCTGGCTCGGGATGAAGAACCTGAGCGCTTGGCCGTTCTTCATCCAGATGGCCCTGTAATCAACTGCCTGCTCCGGATCTCTGCCTCCCCCACCGCAGGCAGCTTCTGCATTTCCCACATGTGGATATCAAATGTGGCCGTGTACCTTGCTCTGGGCAGTGAGACGTGACTGACTTGACACGTACCACTGCTGAACAGAGCCTGTCAAAGCCAGCGTCCTGCCATTTTCAACTCTCTGCTGCAAGGCCAGAGAGACCTCAGACAGGGCTGCTCCTTCCAAAAAAGAAAATGGAGCACAACTGCCCCCCGCTCCCCGCCACCAGCGACAGGACTGGTGTATGCCCCTGAGAGCTTTGGGCCTGTTTGTCATGCAGCATAAGGTAAGCGGACAGAGACAAGTCCTTTGAAGACCCAGCTCACTGTTAGAGGTTTAAGGGAATGACAGCAAAGGCCTGGTGGCATTCCCAGTTGTTCTGGATACTTGGACACACGTCTAGAAATGACACAGAGACCCATCCCTGCAAGCTGTGCTCTGTGTCCTGCTGGTGAGGGTCCAGCCTGCCACATTTGCGGGCTGGAGGCCAGGTGTTTCTGGTTGGTAGCGATGGGTTCTGAGTCCTCTCTTGGTCACCATCTGTCCTGCTGTAGGGTGCTTTTGTGTGTGTGCCTTAACAGGTGTCTAGTAAGTAATCTTATTTTTTTTCTTTGATGAAGAAATAAAATGATTGTGATTTGGGGAAGGGTCACAGTCTCAGAGATGGAGCTGTCTGCCCAGTCTGGCATCCTTAAGAAATTCTGGCTAGGCACAATGGCTCACGCCTGTAATCCCAGCACTTTGGGAGGCTGAGTGCAGGAGTCTGAGACCAGCTTGGGCCACATAGCAAGACTCCATCTCTACAAAAATTTTAAAAATTAGCCTGGCTTGGTGGTTTGTGTGCACCTTTGGTCCCAGCTACCCAGAAGGCTGAGGTGGGAGGATCACTTGAGCCTGGGAAGCAGAGATTGCAGTGAGCCATGATAGATTGAGCCACTGCACTCCAGGCTGGGTGACAGAGTGAGTGAGACCCTGTGTCAAAAAAAAAAAAAAAAAAAAAAAGGCTGGGTGTAGTGGCTCATGCCTATAATCCCAACACTTTGGGAGGCTGAGGCGGGTGGGCCATGAGGTCAGGAGATGGAGACCATCTGGTTAACACCGTGAAACCCCATCTCTATTAAAAACACAAAAAATTAGTTGGGTGGGGTGGCACGTGCCTGTAATCCCAGTTACTCTGGAG